GGGACCTCGTAGCCCACAGGTACCTACCTGTATGTACCTTACTACCAGGGGGTGTGTGTATGGAGGGCTGGACGGCTGGACGGATCCATAAGCGCACCAAGCCAAGCCGTGAAAGCTGTGCCGGCAGCCAATAGGGACCATTAAAGACTTCTACCCCACAAACCGCGATACTGCGTGCAGGCACCGTGATACCGCCAAGACGACGCTTGGCCGGGCACAGCCTGGCGCTGCCGAGAAAATGCATCGAAACGTTCCACGCAATTTGGGGGTTCAGGAACGAACAACCCAGAGGAGGGCTCGCTTTGCCTCTTTTGGGTGTCACCGAAGAGACAATCTCATCTCGGACATCTCACCCAGATCTAACGGCACGTGTAGGTAGTAGCGTACGGGTCTCGTCAGGAAAGACAAAAAGGTTCTCTCACATGATGCCAACTCGATTGCACGGGTACATTGAACAAAACAACGTCTCTATGCCTCTAGGGGACTTGGACACGGATACCTTTGGCATAATTCTGTTATAGGCGGTTCGCCTTTGTCTCAACTGGCCCAATTGCAAAGTTTTACAATTTCACATGTCGTATGGAAAAGGTATTGAAGGTTTCCGGTCATTGCTGATCCCAGTCTATGGCATGTACGAAATTAGCATACCGAGCGAAGCCCAGCAACGGATGGATAAATGGCCGGAGACCCCCATGCCACCGTTTTCCTGTGCTGAAATGTTGACGGTTTCGGTTGTTGGCTCGTTGGTATTTGAATGTCGATGCATAATGCCTCAGGGCTAACGTGCCGAACCTCAATTACCATACCCCGCCATCAGTTTCATACATGATATCCGAAATATCATAATCCATTGCCGTTTATCCGTGCAAGGTCCAACCAGCACATGGTTAAAGTGGCCGCCGAGAATAAGCGAGAGATTGCTGGTCGCTCGGTCTGCATGGGCCGTATCTTCGCGATGAAAAGGACCGAAGCTCAGCAGAAAAACCACCAAGAGGTAGACGTCCCCGTGCACCATACCGCCGTGAGTAGACATTCTTCATCGTTAGATAGGAGAGATGGCATCCTTACTGTCGAATTTTGGAGGCAGAGGTAGGTATGTAGGTTACTAGTGTCCAAGTTTACTAACTGTTTGTCACCAAATTGATTTCAGCTATCAAGCCACTATATCAAGAACCAACAGGGGCGAGGTAAGCAAATGCGGAGAAGCGGAGCGTCGTCAAGGTCTAGTGCCGGCGCACGAGAACGTTTAAAAGGACGTTAATATACATACATACATAAGACTCCTCGCCCAGCCCATGTGGCTCTTCGAAAAAAAAAGCCAAACGTTGTCTTTGTATAAATGGTAGCAAACCCCATGATCAAATGGTAAAACAGATAGATCGACTCCGCGACGTGGTCACATAACAGGAGCATCCTCCTCCTCCTCCTCCTTCGCATATCCACACCAAGGACGCAAACAGCACATGTTGATTAGTGATAGAGCTTATTACCCCCTCGATCCGATTTCCCCTTTTCGTACTAATGGTCTTGGTCCAATACCCAGAACGCAGGATAGATCTGGTTTAAACGTCCCACTCCGTCTCGACGAGCTCACGCTCGTCTTCCTCCTCCTTCGGGCTCAGGGCAGCAAAAGCAGACTGCTGGTAGACGATCTTGGACGACTTGTTGCCATTAATGGCCTGAGGCTTGGTGGGAACCGGGGTAGAAGCCTCTTGAAGCTTGGCCGCCGCGGACTCGGACTCGTTGGCACTATCAGTGGCGGAGGCCTTGTTCTTCTTGGACTTCGACTTCTTGGTCTGGACAGTGTTCCAGGCCTCCTCGTCACGGAGAAGCTGCATCTGCTCCTCTTCAGTGGGCAGAGATGACATCCAAGTCTGAGGCTTCTTGGTCTCGGCAGCAGGGGCCTTGGCTGGCTGGGCGGCAGCGGGAGTGCTGCTGCTAAAGGTATCCAAGGGCTCAACAGAGACGAACCCGTTGTTCTCGGCACCGCTATCGCTGTGGGAGCTGCCATTCGCGCCATTGCCAGTCCAAGCAGATGTCTTGGCAGCCTGGGCAGCCATGAAGGCAGAGCCATCCTTGGCAGCACGGCCTTCGGCGATGCGGGCCTCCCTCCTCTGCTTCTCGAGCAGAACCTGTCTGGCCTTCTCAGCCTCCTCACGAGCAGCCTTCTCGGCCTCGGCCTTCTTGCGGTTCTGGCGTTGCTTCTTGGTTTCAACCTTCTCCATAGGCTTCTCCTTCTTTGCCTTCTTCTGCTTTACCTTGTCGGTATCGGTGAGGCGGAGGACCGAAGGGCCCGCGGTCGTGGGTTCGAGCATGTCGCTAACGTCCCCGGCGTCCTGGGCCTTGACCTCCGGGGAGGCGACTGAGGACTCGTCGTCATCGGCATCGACGCCGGTAGTAGAAGAGGGGGCAGACACACCCTTGGGGGTAGCCTGTTGAGGCTCGGCCTCGACCTCACGCTCGAGGGCACGGGACTGCTTCACCGACTTTTGACGCTTCTCATCCTGCTTCTTCGTGTTGAGGACGGTGCCCTGCTTGATGCTGGCGAACTGGCGGGCGAACTCGCGGTTGTCGATACCATCATCTTCATCCGAGCTGTAACTTGCGGGCTTAGTGGTGGTGGGCACAGGGGTGGCCTTGGAAGCAGCCTTGGGAGCAGCTTTGGGAGCGGGGGCAGCCTTGGCCTTGGCAGCCTTTTGCTTGGGCTTCTGTGCCTTCTCCGGCTCCTCGGCGATTTTGCTTGGTGGTTCTGTTCGTTGCTTCTTAATCTTCTCTTTGGGTTCCTTGCGTGTCTCCTGCTGCTTCTCCTCCAACTTGTGTCGCTGCGAGGGCTTGCGAGCAAGCTCACGCTTCTTCTGCTGCTCTTTGTAGTTGTAGGTATAGAAGCCGGCAACGCAGATGATGGCAACCCATCCGGCCAGGGTAGAGAATGAGATGCCCATGATTAAGGATGGGGATGTGAAAGTCGTGGTGCGTGGAATGAAAGCGCGCAACGTTGGGTCGGACGCGTAGATGGCAAGCTTCGAGGTCACTGGGAGGGACCGCTGGCGTTTAAGCAATGATCGTCGCTTTATAACGGAGCTTCTGTGGGGGCAATTGGGTATGCTGCTAGATCGGAGACCCTTTCAAATGTCCGTTGGTGTCGGGGATAAGGTAGGGTGATCTTAGCTGGCGATGTCGAGATAGGAGGAAGGACTTTATAAATCCGCTGCCACGTCGTGGGGTAACCAAGATGATTACAAGGTAAGGTAGGTAGTTGAACTGTGTATCTGCCTTTCCGCACCAATGGGTAGACGGAGAGAATCGATATAGTAGAAAGTGGAGGATTAATTGGTGCTGGTGGACGGAAGGGTTGGGGAAGAGAAGAAAAAGATGGCCTCGTCTGGGTCTGGAAACGAAGTCGGTCGAGGGACCTTGTCTGTGGTGGGTGGATGCCACAGGTGAAAGGTGTTCAGATGTTAAAGGCTCCTTTTGCGCTGTTCATTGGCCCGCCACCGTGTCGCGCGGAGATAGGTGTTGGCAGGGATAGGTCCTGCGGGCTGCAAGGCAGGGGTGTTGATACCCCTGTTACCCGCGGAATGGGTGGTGAGGACCTTGGAGGTGCGAGATCACGTGACCTTGCTATCGTTAAGTTCTAAAGCATCAAAGACTAACCGCCACTTTTTTCTACTCGCTCTTCTCAAAAGGATGGACGTGCCGGCGTGGTCCGCGTGAAATGGGTTATGTTTCGTCACTTTACCTTGCAAGTCCAGGTGGTACTTGTTTTCGAGGTCGGCCTTGATGCTTCGCTTGGAGCAAAAAAATAAAAAAATAAAAAAAAAATGGATGCGGTGTTCCGGGAAAGTGGAAGCCTTTTATAATCTCATTCCACGTTCCACGTTCCAAGTTGTGTGTCTGTTGGCCACGGCGTGCATATTGAACGCGGCAATGGAACAGCGCATGGTCGGGCAGTTGAACGTTTCATACTACCTCTTGTGTGTCTCATCATGGCTACAACGTCGAACTATATTGTTGTCTACCTTCGCGGCATAGAGAGCCGAGGACTGAGACGTGAGCGTCGCCAGACTCTATACGTATGTACCTTTCGCCAAACATATAACGATTGCCGTTGAGTGTCGCATCTTATCTGTCTATCATACCTACCCGCAAGCACGACTCAATTCACAGATCCGTTTCACCAGCACGCGGACTGAATGTATACAATTTAGTGAATACATAAAAAGCCCCACCGCAGTGACCCTGTTTGTGCTCGGGCCTTCACTGTTCTGGAACCAGCCGGCAGCGGGGGTTGAGAACTGAGGTCGAGGTCCGTCCACCCCATTTGCAGCGGCCGGCGGAAGCCGTCAGGCGGTCCAAATCACGGGTGACGGCACAGACGGGATTCGGCGCAGCTACCGAGTCGGACATGGAGGCTTTACACACACCTACGGCCCGGGCGTGAGCAAAGTCTGGATGGAAGGGAAAAGAATAACTGGGTCACTAGAGTAGCGTAGATTCAACGGTGTCTTAGGTGTGTGTCGTGTTGCCATTCTGCACTACTAGGGGGGTACTTGCGATGACCGTCCCACCTTCCTATCACAGCGAGTCTTACCTCTAGTGTAGAGCCGGTGCTAACGACCCCAAGACTCGGCGGGCTTGTTGACCCCGCGTCAGATTGGCAGACTTCAAAACTGAAGCGCTTTTCTTAGCTTGGTGAGTGCTTATCCTGACCTCAACTTCACTCTCAAAAGTCTTTCCTTTTGAAGACCAATTTCGCTTTTACTACTCCCATCTCCAGTGTGCAGTACGTATATGACCCTACCTGTTATCCAGCAAATACCTTCCGTTCTGGTGAAAACTACAACCGCTTCAAGGCGTCACACACATATACACTTCCACAACCCGCAGAGGTGAACCGCTTAGCATCACTCCGCCACCCGTCCTCGCATACAGATAATTTACCAGCAGCCGAATACATATCAAAGACTGACACATAATTCGCAGAAGAAAAAAATCCCACCATGGCTCCCAAGCAACGTGTTATTCTCGACACCGACCCCGGTGTCGACGATGTGCTGGCTCTTCTTCTCGCCCTCAGTGCCTCACCCGAGGAGCTTGAGCTTGCTATGATCTCCGTCACTTATGGCAATGTTCCGCTTCAGAGGTATGTGTGGATGGTCATGAAAAATTCCGGGTAGCGGCAGCTTTTGTCTAACCTCAAGTTCCTTTCTTCCCGTCCCGCAGCTGTCTCCGTAACGTCGTGGCACTGTTCCACGTGCTGGAAAAAGAGATGAAGTGGCGCGAGGAGACAGGCAAGAGCACTCGCGGCTTCGGTGCCCTCAACACCCATAAACCCATTGTCGCCGTTGGCCCGGAGCACGCGCTGGAGGATGAGATCCTCGCGGCCGACCACTTCCGTAAGACAGACTCAGACCCCCACCGCTTTTCCCTCAGGAACAGAGCAGTTAACAAATTGTAGATGGTGCCGACGGTCTACATGGTGTCCACGAGAAGGTAAGTGAACTCCGAGGACTGCGTTGCGTTTCTTGTCATGGTACGTTTGACCTGACCATCGCCCCAGCAACCTCATCTTTCCCCTGCCGACACCTGGCGCTCTCTTTTCAGCGACGAAGAGCCCCAGGGTGAAAAAGTTGAGCCTCCTTCGTACTCCAAGTACTTCACCCCAAGCAAGGCTCCAGCGCACAAGGAGATTCTCCGTATCCTGAAGGAATCGCCCGAGAACACCGTCACCGTCGTTGCCGTTGGTCCCCTGACAAACGTGGCGCTGGCCGCTGCTGAGGACCCCGAAACCTTCCTGCGCGCCAAGGAGCTGGTTGTCATGGGTGGTGCTGTAAACGTCGAGGGCAATGTGACCCCCGTCGCCGAGTTCAACTGCTTCGCCGATACCGTTGCCGCCGCCCGCGTCTACGCCCTGACCTCGCCCAACCCGATCTCGACCATGCCCCCCGTCATCCACGGCAAATCTTTTTTGCCCCCTTACCCCGCCAAGCTTTCCAAGCAGCTTAAGCTGACCCTTTTCCCTCTTGATATCACCACCCCGCTCGAGCTGAGGAAAAAGTACTTCTACGAGACCATCCAGCCCATCACCAAGTCCGGCAGCCCGCTTGCGCTGTGGATCGAGACCTTCATGACAGGCATCTTCAACAAAGTCGAAGCCATGCTTGGCGACGGCAGTGAGCCCGGTCTGTCTCTCCATGACCCGGCGTGCATTTGGTACATGCTGACCCAGGATGACCCCGCATGGGAACCCGTGGCGAAGCCGGAAGATATCAGAATTGAGACCTCCGGCCAATGGACCAGGGGCATGCATGTCGTCGACAGACGACAGAGGGCGAAGCCGGGTGAGCAGTCAAGCATGGTGGAGACGCATCCGTCAGATCCTCTGGATGCGACCACCTTTGACGATGTCCCCGGAGACGACATGGGCTGGCTAAGCGTGAACAAGGGAAACAGAATTAACAGGATGGTCAAGACCCCCGGCGACGAGAAGTTTGCCGCCATCCTGATGGATAGACTCTTTGGTTAAATCTGCCGGCAGCACTTGTTGATTTTCTTCTTCTTTTGTATATAGAAAGCGAATCTATTCCACGCGGAGTTTTTGAGATCTGGGGTATCTGAAATCAATATTCGCTGGGTTCCTCAAAACGAGAGCTGGACCTGCCCGTGAAACCTTGTCTTATTTTTCTTCCTCGGTCAGCATAAGTCTTAACGGGGAAGTAAGAGGGGAAGAAAGATCGTCGATTGGGCATACCAATGTAGTAAAAGAAAACCTGTAGCTCCGCGTACCAAATGCCAATGATGCAACCAAATCTTGTGCCACGCCCATTATTCACCGGTGTTGTCCTTTATGTCAACTGCCCGCGACCGCCACACCGTTCGACTTTTGTCTTTTTCCCTTATTTCCTTCTCCTGCCTCCTCTTCTTGGTTTTTTGAGGGAGCGAGACACCATGCCTCACGCGCTCAGGTATAGCGCAGAAACGGTTTTATGGTTCGGTGGTATATTCTAATGCTTTGTCGTCCCAATCGTAGCCCCCTTGACTTTGGTCCAGTCTATGCTCTCGTCCAGCGACTCATCAACCAACCCAACCAGGCAGACCGTGTCCCCGCGAATCATGTGCGTTCCCAGCTCGATCTCGGCCGAGGGCTCGTCGTCATCGGGGGAGCGAATGACTCGTTCAACAGCTCTTTGTAGGAACTATTTTGTTGGAGGGTTAGTTGTCGTTCGCAATATGCTTTGTTTAATTTATCAGGTGGCAGAGGAACTATATCCAAGTATGGATTGGGAGGGAGCATATACTGACCACATTCGTGCTCATGTCTACCGAGATCAGTGTGCCTACTAGGGTGCGGCCATCGACTGTGATTATGCAAACCTTTTCTAAAGTGAAGAAAGATGGATCTGTTAGCTTTCTGGTCTTGCGAATATCCTTGAACTTTGGGATGCCATGACCAATTGATCTTGCGACCAAGCAATAAAGAAAAGAGGAAGAGGGATCGAAGAAGCACAAGGGCTCAGGTAGAAGGGTAGACCAACTGTTGAGGTATGAATTTACCAAGCCCGCCGACATGGTGACGGATGAGTGGATGCTATTAGTCTTTGTGTTTTCTCGTACCGGCAATGCGCGGGCCCAAGACCGCGATGATAAGCAAAGTATCACGTAAAGCCCACGGTCTAACTTGAATTGCAAACAGAAAGTCGTCGGTTCAACTCAAGGGCAACTTATTCGCTTCGTGTGATCTTGGTAAGCCCGGCCGGATGGGGTCCCTTGGTCGTTTGTCGCTTCGAATGGGGCAATTGGTTCGTGGTTATTGATGTTTTCGTTTCTCGTTGATCGATCGCGAACGAGGAATACAACCTGGTCGGCGCGCCGCGTCAAACAAGAATAGTGGGTACGTAATGCTGGCGGGGAGGGATGTGGTGAAATCGTGGGGATGGGACAAGAACGTCGCCGTGAAGCTGGAGCTTCTCTTGTTCTTCCGTACATACGCAGTAGAATCGCCAAGCCCAGATCACTGACGACGGCTCACGGCAGACAACGTACTGTAGTGAAGGCTGGAGCTTCTGAAGCGGATCCATTCTCCACTCAATTGCCTGCCGCAAAAGCGACGCTCACCCATCGGCTTGCCCCTTTTCATTCGGGAGGGTTGCTTTGTTTACTTTTATCCGCTTTGGGGTGTCAATGCAGCCCTCAACTATCTTCGGTTGCTGCTTGGATGATTGCCATTATCATCGTATGGTCTACCATCAGAAATGTAGCGCTTTCTCTTCCTGGCGCTTCTCGTCGCTGATTTGCGGCAGTCTCAAAGAGCTCTATGGAAATTCGGTGGAAGCTTATACGTATAGCAGGGCCAAGATGCAGATGTCAACGTCCACTTTGGCTTAATTGACTTCCATGAGACCGTTCAAACCCATTGAACCTGCCGTTCCCGTGACTCGGAAGTTTGAATATGTCAATAATCCGAATACCGGCGGAGGTTGTGGTATCTACAGTCAAAACAGCCTAGGTAGAACCGAATGCGGAGGGAGATACAGACGCGAACCCCGCAGTAGGAGCCCCGCCCTACTGTGTATCTCTTGGACGAAGGCAGGGGACGAACATCTCCCGAAGGTGTACCAAATTGGCCAGCAATTGAACTTGTTCACCCAACGCAGCCGGTACATTTCCTCGCCATCTGCCGTCAGGTTATTACAGTTGACCTCGAGTATGTGGCGGCCGGAAAGTGGTTCGGAGCTGCGCATCAACTTTGATTTCTTAGTGTTTACTGTGTGTCATCGGATTTGCTTTAAAAGTGTTCGGGTTGACTTAGTCCGAGCTTCCACCTGTATCCCCACTGACTCGGCATGCCTTTCCTCCCCTTCGTACTTCAAAACTCCTGAAGCATCATATCTCTTCACTGAACATAGCCGTTCACGTCACTTCGGTTTACCAACTCCGTACAATGTCTTCCGGTAACCCAACTTCCAAGATGCTGGCGGCCAATTCGTTGAAGTAAATCTTCACCCAGGAAAGCCGCCCTGCTATGGGTGTCTGGCAGATGCTACCCGGGGCCAATATCTCGAGGATTCTCGCTCGATCGGGGGCTGACTGGGTAATGGTTGACTGCGAGCATGGAAACATTGACGGTAGGTAACCCGGAATACGGTGGTGTATAATGGGGTTTGTTGAGCTGAACGATATTGGTCAGATGCTGCGATGCACGAAGCAGTTCCGGCCATTGCCGCCCTGGGCGTTTCTCCTATTGTCCGGATCCCAGACCTTCAGCCATCGATGGTCAAGCGTGAGTGCCATTCGTATTGCCTTGCCACTCGGACGGTTACTGATGTACCCTTTACAGGAGCGTTGGATAGTGGTGCCCATGGAGTGAGTGTATAAGAGTATTTTGTGTTGGAGACATTTTTCTGACGTGCTCCAGATCCTTGCACCGCTCATCAGGACCGTTGAGGATGTCAAAAACTTGGTCACCGCGGCAAAGTTCCCACCAGAAGGCAAGAGAGGGTTTGGATCGCCCATCGCCATGCAAAACTTCAACCCCATGCCAACCTTCACCGAATACCTCCAGCAAGCGAACGAGAGTCTCTTGACCATGGTGCAGATCGAGACACAGGAAGCCTTGGACTCGGTTGAAGAGATTGCTCCGCTTGTGGATGTCATCTTTATCGGTCCTTTTGACTTGGGTAACAATATCGGCCACCCGATTATCGAGGGAAAGATGGATCCGGAGCTAGATGAGGCTATTGAGAGGATCCTGAAGGCTGCCGTAACGGCAGGCAAAAAGTGCGGCATCTTCTGCACAGGCGGAGAGCAGGCCAAACAGTATGCCGACAAGGGATTCCATATGATCAGTGTCGCAACGGATTACACTTTGTTGGGAGCTGCAATGGCGGACAGCCTAAGCATTGCGCGGGGCCAAGGGAAGCAGGACAAGCCGGCATCGTATTAACGAGAATGAGGCCCTGGCATCGACGCACACGAGTGCCAATAATAGGATAGCCTCTCTCATGACTCTTCGACTTGATTCATTTTAGCTTCAACCTGCTCGACCGTGAAGCGGTGCATCAACTTGACGGCCTTGGAGGAGAGTTGGGGGTCTTCTTCTGGGGCTTGAGCCTTGCTGATGTGAATCTGTCAAGGTGTCACTGGTGTTAACTTCCACCTAAGGCTCGACGACCTGAGTCAACTCACCACTGGAACATCAAAGTCATAAAGATCTCTCCAGGCCTTAGACTCTGGCTTGACAATGTCGACTTCCTTGTACTCGAAAGGCCGGCGGTCCCAGACATCGGACAAGACGGATCTTGCCTGAACACACAAACCACAGCCTTCACGCCTGAAAAAGGTGATCCGGGACGGAAAGGACTGAAGTAGCCGACTTGTAAAACGCATGTTGTTACTATCAAAGTTTGTGAAGGTAACCACAGCGAGATGCGTTTAGTTGTCTCGAGGATGTATGGTGTTGTTGTACTTGGCTTAACTAGGTAGATCGGATGTTGCTGACGTCGGACATACTGTGTAGCGCTTCAGTTGCTAACAAGAGGAAAGCATGTACCTGCCTAGGGCTGGCTTGCCTGCCGTCGGGGCACACCCACTGTACGCGCAGCACGCGACCACTGAAGAGGTACCTCGAAGTGACGACAGTACGGGTCCGAGCTCACGACTCCGGGGTGCTTCCCCGCCCCCACTTCTTAGCCCGACGGCGCGCCGGCACTGGTATTTGGGAATTGGCACGCTGGCTGTTATGGAACAGGAAGCCGCTGATGCTGTAGAAAGCTTGATCGGAATGTTCTACGCTCTTCTGAACGGAAACTTCCACAAGGCCCATCTCGTACTCCATTTATTTCTAGACAAACCACTCCCCTCCTCCTGTTAACGTTGGATGAGCATCGACCAAGCTTTCTGTCAACAGAATACAGTCTGCATTCTCTAGGTATTCTTTTCGATAGCGCATCACTCGCGTCAAGCGAATCTGCATTGACTGTCTTTCAAGGTTCTCACACCTGCATAATTGGATAACCATGTCCGAGGCCAACAAGTGCGTCCATCAAGGTTGCGGCAAGGTCTACACCGACCCCGAGGAGGTCTGCCGTTACCACCCTGGACCCCCTGTTTTCCACGAAGGCCAGAAGGGCAAGTAATGTCCAATTTGATGTTGTCCAAGTTCGGCGGGATGTAGAGATAGCCCCGGCTAACGCACATGGCTGCTTAGGATGGAAGTGCTGCAAGCCGCGCGTGCTCACCTTCGAAGAGTTCATGACCATTGAGCCTTGTACCGAAGGCAAGCACAGTACCACCGATCTTCCCCCCAAGATCGAGAAGAACGAGGCCGATCCAGCACTGCTCGAGTCTCTGGCCGCCACCCCTCCGCCACCGACCCGTACGCCCGTGCCTGTTGCGCAACATGCTCCCACTCCTCCGCCGCCGGCGCCAGAATCCGATGATGACGAGGAAGGAATTGAGATTCCGGATGGCCGCGTGTGCAGGAGAAAGGCTTGCGGCGCGACCTACCAGAAGGGCGCCAGCCGCGAGGGCGAGAAGTGTGTACACCACCCCGGCGCTCCCATCTTCCACGAGGGAAGCAAGGGGTACAGCTGCTGCAAGCGCCGCGTCCTTGAGTTTGACCAGTTCATGAAGATTGAGGGCTGCAAGACCAAGGATCGGCATTTGTTTGTCGGTAGCGGGAAGAAGGAGGCTGCGGCCGCATCAGGAGGCGAGGACATCTTGGAGACGGTCAGGTAAGTTCCGTCCGTTGTGATGATGTTTCGCAGCCAAGGTCGGCCAAGGATGGCTGTGTCCTGCAAACATTCTTTTTCATTTTGATCTGCTTGATCCTGCCATTCCACTGCAGCTCAACTGACCTGTGTTTGCTCTCAGGACCGACTTCTACCAGACCCCTTCGTCAGTCATCGCATCTTTCTTCCTCAAGAAGATCAATAAGGACGCTGCCAAGGTTGAGTTCAAGCCCAACTCCATTGTTCTGGATCTGCCCACGACGGACAGCCCCGTAAAAAGGTACAAGACGGAGGTGTCGCTCTTTGGGCCCATCGTCCCTGAGAAGTCAAGCTACAAGATCCTCGGCACCAAGCTGGAGGTTACGTTGTGGAAGGCAGACGGCAGCTCTTGGCCGGTGCTACGGAGCGATGACCGGCCAACAGGTGAGATTTTGCAGGTCGGCCGAGCCGGAAGGGTGTAGTAATTTAAAGGTTATGAGGGAGGTACCGGGCTAGAAAAAAAAAAAGCGAAAAAAGAGCGAGGGAAGTATGTCAGGTTTCCATAGTTGATTGTGCCTCGAACCTGTCCTGTTCCGTGTGTTGTTTGTTTTCGCCGAGAGCGCCGCCAAGGAACGGGACACGGAAGAGGTCAGCTTTTGGACCCGATAATTACTGCGGTGTAGGACGGCCTAGAAGCACAACCAGCGGCAGAGCACAATTTCACTCGGAAGCCCAGAACGACGCCATAGACGCACGGGGTTCATAAAAGCGTTGATTTTGATCACTCCCGGTTTCAAAGCAATTATCAAGGTAGGACATACATGGGTAATGGTTCTCGGCAGCTACGGAGCAGTGGAGGTAGGCTAGAGGCCGCCTCCGAAGATCAAGGACGGGAAGGACCTGGGACAAATTGTACCAAGCAATGGCAAGATATCGGAGAAACACCAAAGTCTACACTAGAAGATCACAGGTAATTGAGTTTGACTTTAGTAGAGACTCGGCTGATATTATATCGTGTAGTAGGATGAGCGACATCGGTTACATACAAGTCGAAAACATCTCTCTATGCAATATAGTATATAGGTATTCCCCAGTCACGTCATGCCCACCCAGCCTTACGCCCTCAGTCTAGCCCATTCTGAAACGGAATGACTAATACTCTCCGTGAGAAACATATCAGTTTTTTGATCGGGTGCTGTACGCGACCTGGCTCTTGGCTTTATCTCGGCCTTTCCTTGGCCCTCCTTGGCTGTCTCGGATTTGATAGTTGGGCTCGGATTTCGTTGGCGGTGAGATCGATCAGGGACCGTGATTTTAGATTGCCATATCTGAAAAAGGGAAGAAAAGAAGAAGAGCAAGAAGTCATCATGATCCCAGCCGATCAGACTCCTTCGTTGGGAGTTCAGCTCCTTTCACCTTTGACTCTTTTCACAATGTCTGAGAGGGTGCAGAATGACGAGAAAGAGATCACGATGAGAATGATTACTCTTTCGATATACTAGCTTCAGCCGCCTCTTGGCCTACTTACCATATCTAGTGTATGATTGGCGTACGATGTACGTATGTACACTACACGGTAGTTACACTACACACTCACACCCTTCCTGGATAGGATCTCTGGATCCATGGAATGCATGGAGGAGAGCCAAGCGTGACAACTGACGGGAAGGCAAGCTCAACAAGCTCGACAAGCTACTACGCAGTACACTACACTAAACTGACCCACGCAACCATCGTCTCGCATCTCGCATGCACTGCCTCAAAGATCTCCTATCCCCATCTTGACACCGTCATCAATCGGAGTCTACCCGCTAGATCTCCTTCCTTCTTGCTTACATGCTGGGTGTTTCTTCACCCGTCTGTCCGTCTCCTCCACCGACAACATACATACTACTCTACACTACATTCCCTACCACAGTACTTACGTAGTGTACACAGTAAGATAGATATACACCACTGCGCCTTCCCCCCCCCTCTCCTCCCACGATAGCGGGAACGGGAAAGCCACCCCCTGATCACCAGCTGCCGCTTAGTCAACAATGCAGCAAACCAGCCAGCCCTTGTTCCCTTTCTTTTGCTTGTTCGTAAACCCCCCTACGTATGTTTGTGTGTACTTTGGTATTGTACCTGGGTATAAAAAAAACCATCAACAACCACCACATTACACCTTTTTATACCATATTCCTTGGTCGGGGAAACTCTCTTGGCTCGGTCTTGGGTCTACTACGTACAGTACTCGGCTTATGTGCCTGTATAAAGGTGGTCTCGCAAATCACATACCCAGGCTCCCCCAAGAAAGAAAGCTTGATGGGTAATATGCGTGTATAGCTGGAAATCTAGACCAACAGGGTGAATAAGTGTACGAAGGTGCTTGGTTGTTGACTTAAACTACTCCGTTGCATTTATCATGAATTACTAACTGTATTGAAAATTGTCAGGTTGGTATGCCCGATATTGGGGGATGCCGGTACCCGCTTCTTTAGCCAGAAAATGATGACGACGTACACTAGTCTCAAGAGCCTATCACTTGTTTCGGCTTGACCACGAGGATGATTTAGTTGGGATGTCTGGCATGCGCCGGCGCCGGGCACGGCGCGGGTTGCACTTTGTATATTTCTATAGTGGGCCAAGATCTCTGTGTCCCCTATATTTGAGACTGGAAGAGGGCCAAGATCTTGTATTGTCTGTGGTGTTCAACATGTTGCTTGGAAGTTTGTGTTATTTTCCCAGTCTCAGATAACACCGACTTGCGTCTTCACTCACAGTCGGGCGCTTGATATCATCCCGGTGGGAGAGGAGTTGATAGATGAGATGAACTGTGTCTGACCGAGGTCACTGGTATGGAAATGAAGACAGTACCTAAATACGTACGGGGCTCACCAGTTATGTGTAAAGTGGAAAGGTGTGCACTAGTAGTGCAGGTTGATAAGAAAGATCGACTTGACTATGGAGAATACGTATTTATGCACCCCAGATTCAAAGACCTCCACCGCTTGGCGTTGTGAACTTGAGATCCAAAACACCAGACCACATCCGAAACCAACAACTCCACCAAGAGGCGAAAATATCTTTTAGGATCAACGTTGCCCTTGTCTTCCCCGGAATCTGGCATTCCCTATCAATGGTGGCTGTGTGAAACCTTACCTTTGCAGACACCAACCGACGAAACCGAAGGTGCTGTCCTTGATAGGGAAGCCCAGAAGAAAAGTGTCCATCCATCTCACATTCTAGCATATCAAAGTTTCTGCGCTAACTCATCTCACATGATATCCTGGATGACAGGGGAAAGGAAATGAAAGTACCAAGCCGGACGTTTACATATCCTCCGAACTCTTGCATTGTGTACATGTGTACATGTGTAAGTACCTTCCTTGTACGCGTGGCTGCCCTGCGGTAGGCAAACCGACCGGGACCACGGAGGACGGAGGAGGGAGGGGAGAGACGATGTAGGTAATCCGTCCCCCTTTCCACTTGTGTGTCAAGCTAAACTCCAAGATAATATTCCGTTCCATTGCTTGGCCCATTTACTAGGTAACTACTTTGCCAACTCTGCCGTGCATCTCAGCATTGGGTAATAGTGCAAGGTAGATTTCCAATTTGTAAGACGAACGTTTGTCAAGAACAAAGTATTCTTGCCATTCAGATATTCTTTTCTAAGTACAGCTTGCATACTACCAAAGCCCCTGCCTTGAAAGCAAAGCCACGTGGACGGTAAAACGGGCGCAATTTTCAGTTCCAGACTCGTGCGTAGAGGTATCTAGTTTTTCGCTTTCCTTCCTCCTTGGTTTTTCACGATACTCGTTCTACATTCGATCAATTTTGCTTGATAAACAGTTTGAGTTGTCCTCCCGTTTCACGATACTTCGGATCTCCCAAGTGTGATAACACTTCAACCTATCTGTAATAGATATAGTAACAGACTATACACTATTCATCAGAACCGGAAACAACACAGTGGTCATGCGCCCCTTGACTTTGCCAACGTTGGGACACTGCAGATGAGCAGCTTGAATGGCTTTGGTACGTGAAACCCTTCCATACTCTGAAGTAAAAATGTACTCAAGACATGCATCTCTTGGTACCCTTCACTGTCAGCACGTGTTTCGCCGGAAGTAGGGCGTGTCTCAGTTTTCCCGCTTGGCATTTACAATATAATACTGGTATGTTTGTTAGTTTGGTTCTTCAGCCATGGGTTGAACAGGGGAGATATAGAGCTCTTATTGGCTTCCTTGGAGTTTTCGTTTGGAGAGACCAACAATGACCAGGGTGTAATACGCCACAAATGCCTCTTTTTATACCTCCATCCGTCTCCTGAAGACCTCCAAGCATAGGAAAATATAAAAGGGTAGTCCCCATCTAGTACCTATCTGTTTGAAAATCACTGGAAAATCGAACGCTTCTTCACTTTCGGGGGCTCTCGAGTGGAGATGGGCGTTTTTTGTACCAAACTAACAAACATACCAGGGTTAGATTGTATGCTACACAACCCAACCTCGTTTCTGTTTTTGGCAGGTCCTTCATATATACACTATGTAAGTAGAGGTATGCATGTATATATGCGACTTCTCGGAGAAGCAGAGAGCGAGAGTGATGACGGATAACAAAGGAGGTGCAATGACGGGTAACTACCTTGCCTTGTCAACTGTCCTATCAATGTTGAGGTATTTGTGTAAAGTGATCGGCAATGTAAAGTTTCTACCCTTCAGAGCAAACAAGGGACGTCATGTTAATCAGTTTGGTTGAAGGGTAAGAAACGACAGAAGGACCGAGTATCAAATAGTCTGTTTCACTCCAACATGGTTACGAAAGCCCAGATAACACACGGCTGTCAATCAAAATTCAAGGGATAAATCAGCGCAGTGTAGATGTTCGAACAAGGTTTGTGATTGATAAGCCTGACATGCATAGATGTCATTTCCCCTACTCCCACCCCTACACTCAATCTCAGTTCTCACGCACCGCCATGAATATCTAGATAACGCAAGCCCAGCCGCGCGGGAAGAAGGCGCTAATCTAACGTTTTTCAAACACATGGACATCTGAGTATGGCATTTCCCGACAAGAAACGCGAAAAAAAAAAAAAAAAACAGAAGGAAGTGCAAAAACAAAATGGAACTCCCAATAACCCAAATTGCTTTTTCTTATACCGAACGCTATGCCCAAAAGAGAACTTTCGTAATGTCGTAATTTTGCTTGCCCTTGTCCCGCTTGCTTGCTGGCTTGCTTGTTGCCCAACGCCGCCGCCGTCGATCATAAATGCCTGAAACCCCAAGATAAAGCAAAAAGAAAATCACAATATTACACGAAACAAACAAGCGCCAAAAAGAGCAAAAAGCCATGAGATAAGAAAGAAATTTATAAAAAAAAAAAAAAAAAAAAAAAAAAAAAAAAAAAGGGAAATCCGGAAAGTGGGTGGCGTCCGACAAAAAATCAAAGACATTCCCGTCTCAAACAGGGGAGACATGCACTTCGGCCTCCTCGACTTCCTCGTCTGATGGACGGCACGGAGCAGCAATCCTGACGACCGGTGGCGGCCTTGGCGAAGGGAGTGGTGGGGGAGGCACCAGTAATGATGGTGAAGCCGCCGCTTTTTCGTTTGGGGTGGACAAGTCACTGCTGTTGCCGTCCGAAACCATAATCATAGACTTCTTAAAGGCGACAATGATCTGTCCGTTCATCGTGTTCTTCCCCAAGATGGTGCCGCGCTCGGGATCGATGCTGTTGCCGGGGTCATCGACGAACTGGAGAATTGGGGCGCCTTCGGGGGTGTAGCCGAGTAGTTTGGCGCGGTATTCGTTGTTGTTGTTATCACCGCTGGGACATTCTTCTACGCGGATCGTCTCCCTGGAAAGTCTGTGTTAGTTTCTGTGGCTGGTTTTTTTTTTTCAGATTCTGTGCCGGGAAGAGACAGAGAGATAAGGCAAAAGACAAATAGGGCAATACGTACTCCCTGCTCATGGGCAAATCGTTGGTGGAGATTCCATTGAGGCTACTCTCTGATCTGCCCCGGCTCCGAGAGCGTAAGCTCCTGGATCGAACGCGCTGCACACGCTTGCGCATGGCGCCGTGGAAGGCGTGACCGATACCGGCAACGACGAGGACAGGAGTACCGAGTGCTAGTGCCCAAGGTCTGTAGTATGATGTTAGTAGTTGGTTCTTGTGACTGAGTGACAGAGAAGATGGAGAAAACTTACGGGTTCTTTCTATCCCGAATGGCGTTGAAGGCAGCTAGGATAATGCCCAAGATGGCTATGAGCGAGCCAACCTGTAGCATCGTCCAAGTAGACCAGTACAGCGACATGAGGTCTTCTCCATCACAGAATTGCAAGGCCAGCAGAGCGTAAACCTCCATGACGAGGGCAATGATGGAAAGCAGAAAATAACCGGTGCAGATCAATAAGCATCGCTGCATCTTGTGTCGGTAGTGCTTTGTCCCAGCTCTGGAATTCGCCAGTGCCTCGCAGGTCCTGGGGAACGCATTAGTGACTGTTGGAGAAAAGAGACGTGTGGGGGGGATAACATACCCTGAGTACTTCCATGAGGCGAGGAAAAGCATGATTATGACAAACACAAAGAGGGACCAGTATATCCCATCAAAGGCCGTCCGGTTGAGATGTGCGGCGAAGTGGGCATAATGTTGACACTGCTCAGGGTCAATGGGTTCGAAACCGCCGGCCATGCTAGGCTGAATAATGAAACTACTGGACTTGTGAGGAAGATGAACTTGATAAGGTAGGTACAAGTGAACGATTTCTGAGATGTGTGATTGCTTCAGAACTCTTGATCACACATTCCCAATCACGCACAGCATGGGGGAAATGGTACTTATATATATATAAGGAATAGGGAGAAGGGACAAGTAGTACGAGGCATAGAGAATAAACGCCAAGCAACTCGGGTGACGTAGAGGGGAAATGTCGACTAGGCAAAGCCACAGATCAGATTTGAGTCGCGGTAGTTTCAACCTACTGGAGTACACTAGTAATCGAAGTGTTGACTAGGGATGCATGGAGAAACATCCTAGTTTTAGGTGGGGAACGGAGACGTGGGACGGACTACGGTCGGTTGGGTGGAAATCTATGCAAAGTCTCAAAGAATGCGGTACAAGATGAAATAGAGATGAGAGAGTAAGAGCCGGCAGATGATTGCTTCTTTTCCCTTTTCAACACTCTAGCTGTATTACCGTGCTTACATCAAGGCAACGGGAAGCCGCAGAAGAGCCTCTGCACGGAAAGGGAGGCGAGCGAGTCTGGTGTCCATTTTGGGCGGTAGGCATGCTAGACTGATTTAATATCCTCTTATCTATTGGGACTTCTTAGACTACCTTGGCAACCTTGAGGGTTGTGAATATGTAAGTCTTCCCGCCGATCGCTAGCTTGGCAACCAAGGTACTTGGTGACCAAGCGGTAAAGAGGTCAAGCTAGGAAAGCCGGGGTCATCTCGACAACTCAGTCTCTTAAGTCTTCACTGCCACCAGTACATGGTGCCAAGACTCTTCCAAGCTGCACGGGGGGGCGTGGGGAATGAATGCCGTTCTCTGGCTCTCGATTAAATAGATGCCGCAAGTCAGCCATAGGCCGCGGTTTATTGCATGCCTGGCATCAGGTTGACGGCATCAAGGATCATGCCCTTGCTTAAAATATATTCACGGAGCACGTCAAACTCTTCTCCTTCCTCCTCTCCGTAACGAAGCACTTCCCCAAATCCGAATGAGCAGGCAATTTTGTCATAAGCGGCCCGTTCATCCTCTCGGATCCATCGCTCCCGCAGCGGAATACCCGGGCCCCAGGTCACCCGTTTCATCTGGTCGTTTGCCGTGGTAGTGGCCACAATGCCCATGGTCGCAGTGAAGCCAATATAGGCCAGCATGCCGAAGAAGGCTACGTTGGTCGCCATAACAGTCTCCATTGAATCTTGCCATGTACCATAGTTCTTGGCGAGAGCCCAAGCAGCGACTGGAGTGAGTCCCAAGCCGGTCATGGGTACAAGTGCCTTTTTCAACAACTTGGCGCGGGTGAAAGCCTTGGTAGCGTACGTATTTTCGACAATGCCAACAGCGGCATCAAGGTCCTTGGCATCAAGTGCTGCGTCCAGTGCCATCTCAGCAACCTCGGGATCCACCGCGTTCTTCGGCATGTCAGGATTCCGCTTCTTGTAAGCCAGCTTTCCAGAGCTAAGCTTGGGGGCTGCCTTGTACGCATATAGGCCCAAAACGTACGGCAGTGTCTTGGGCTTGCCAAGAGAGGCCTGGAGAGCAACATACTCTCTGAGCAGCAGCGGGGTGATGACAACAGGAGGATGCGAAATGATTGCAAAGGCCGCATCTGAGATCTTGTCAGCAGCATCCTTGTTGAAGCTCAAGTAGGTAAGAGGCTGAGGTTGCCCAGGAGCAGCCGTCGAGGCCCGGGCGTTCCGGCCGTCAACATCCAGACCAAGCAGATCAGAAGCACCCGTCTGATCGGCCTCTGCACCGGCTGCGGGGGGCTGGCTATCATGGGAGGAGTCAGGGGCAGAGGCAGAGGCAGCAGCAGCAGCAGAGGCAGAAGCCGCTGACGGGACGGTTGGTTGGACCAAGGCGCGCAGAGCGGTGAGGGTCATGTGCTCTGACGGAATACCTTGCTTGGCCAGAAACTCCTTGGTGACACGGTCAGGATCCGGAGTGGCATGCTGCCCCTGGGCTTGAGGGGGTGCGGTCTCGGTGGCTGGCGGCTGCTGGGCATTCGGTAGTTTCTGCGGGGACGTGAATTTGGAAGCAGATGCAGAAGGCGATGACGGCGACGAAGACGATGGTTGATTCTGCGACTGGGATGCCTTGGGACTCTTTTTCTGGGCGGATTGCAATGGAGACGGCACCCGTTTCACCTTTGAAAGGGAGCTAGTGGTACTCAGCATACGGATAGCAGCGATCGACACGGCTGAGCCCTCTTGGGTGAGCTTGGCCAGCTGTGTGCCGGCACTCCGTGTCACCAGGGAGCGCTTGGCAAACGGCGCAGACACGGGCGCAAACGCCGGTCGGGCATGTTGCTGACGGGAGTAGATAAGGCCGCAGGTCTGACGACTCTGCCGCCCGGTGGTGGCGGTGGTGAGGTTGACCGTGGTGGCCCTGAGGTTGTGAGGACGGAGAAGCATGGTAGGCGAACTGAAGACCTAGACCTTGCAGTAGATTTGGTGAAGTAGACACACCGGGTTACCGTCGTCAAGTCAAGATGGGACCCGCCCGACCCCGTGGGGAGAGTTGGTGGGGAAAGTCGGGGATATCCACTGCCCCGAGTCACCAACGGAGAGCAGGTGGAGGACAGGCGCGTGCGGTGTGGAGAGCCCAGAGAGTGCCTGGGAGATCTGGAGGCGCAGGGGCAAACAAGCACGCAGACGGCGGTATTGGGAAAAGGGGTCAAGAAAAGGTGGTGATTGGAGTTGAGGACGTGAGGCCGGAGTGTCTGGCTCTCTGGTTTGTGCTGCGGTCAAAAAAGAGCTGGAAGAGCTAGACCTGATGATGCAGATCGGTGCATAGGGTGTGCTCTTGGCCTCTTGGTCTCCGTGCCACGGTGTTATACGCTAGCTTAAACGAGTAGCCGAAATCCTACCCAAAAGACAGGACGGTTCATCTGGGTCAGTCTTGGCCAGCAAGATAGCGGTGCTGATGGACACATGCAACTAAGGAGGAGATGCCCGTAGCCAGCATGTCACACAACATGTCCGAGAGACTGGGAGCGCAAAGCCGATGTGATATCTCGCACGTCTTTAGGTCTTTACGTAAGATCTACTCCGAGAACGGCTTCTAGAAAGCTTAGTTCAAGAGCTCATCACTTTGGGGGGGACTCTTTAACCTCGATTGGAGGCGTTATGTTTACTGTTCAATCTTTGTTTCAGCCAGCAGCCCAGAGCAAGCGTTTTGTCTCGTACCTTCGCTCTTTTTGAGGTGCGCGAAGCTGCCAGAGAATCAGTTTTGAGGTAAGTGGTGACTGGTTGACTAAGTACTTAGGTATCCAGATGAAAAAACAACGAGGAAGCACGAGCAGCTGTGTCAGTCTTTCTTATTCCCTCCTTCTTTGACAGCCATGGTTGGAAGGGTTGACGGAGTGGCGCTTTGGCTCAAGAATATTGAAGGGCGGGCGATGAGAAAATCAATCCAAGTGAAGGGAATGTTCAAGGTCCTGACTGGATTCAGACAATGTGATGGATAACTCCATCGTGGGGCTGGTGTCTGAGCCCCAGGTGGCTGAGCCTGCCTCGGATTTACGCAGAGTGGAAACTGCCCCTAAGCTTCAGTCTCATGCTGCAGGCTTGGCATTCAAGGAACCCCGCTGTAGCGCACTGACCCACAGGCAACCGCCGGCCAACGCCCTCGAAAGGAGTGCAGTGACGCAGCCTGCTTCCACTTCCACTGGGATATGGAGACAACGAACCACTGAACTTCCACTTCGACATTTAATCTCACAAAGGAACAATCCAACACTCGCATACGCTGGCACGTGCTTTGACTTATACGCACCCGACCTGATCTCGTCCCGTCTTCAACAACCACCGCACTACACACGATTGCCAGTGCTCCAGCGCCGGAACCCCCGTACCGAGCTCGAAATACTTGTGGCGCTGTCCCGTTTCAGACACTGCAGACGTCCAATCGACCGGTAATTTCGGTTCGACCCGCAACTATACCTAAGGCAACAAGCTGAGCGTCAAAGTCTCTCACTTCCTGACACTTTCTAATCGACTTCCACTTCAACCCTCGCATCGCCAACACAAAATCAATACGCCATGCCACCTCCACCACCTCCTCCCCCTCCGCCGCCTCCGGGTATGGGGGGACCTCCGCCGCCGCCGCCACCTCCCCCTGGAGCACTTCCAGGCCGACCACCTGCCGGTCTTCCTAATAGGGTGCGCCAAAAGAACACCTTCGGTCTTACGAGCCCGCATCATGAGAGATGTACTGACTAGTTCATAGGGTGCTTTGCTCACAGATATCACCAAGGGCAAGGCGCTCAAGAAAGCAGTAACCAATGATCGATCAGCACCCATCATCGCCCCAACATCGGGCAGCGGACCAGGTCCGTCTCCATTAGGGGGGGCTCCCCCTGTTCCTGGCCTTCCCAAGGCTCCCGGAGGTCTTGCGCCTCCAGTACCCGGAAACCGTGCCCGTAGCGATAGCGATGTAGCCGACCGGAATCAAGGTGGATCAACAGGCATGGAGGCTGCACCGCAGCTTGGAGGCCTTTTCGCCGGAGGCATGCCAAAGCTACGAAAGACGGGTGGTGGTGTAGACACGGGCGCCAACCGGGATGCATCATATCTTTCCGACCCGGAAACAACATCCAGATCAGCACCGAAACCACCAACGGTCTCGGCCCCCCGCCCGCCTCCCGGCGCAGCCCCGACAATCCCTGGACGGCCATCAGCTCCTACTTTCCACCCATCCATGCCCAACCTCAAAAAGACTGCGAATGGGGCATCATCGAAGCCGCCTCCGCCGCCAGTTGGCAAGAAACCGCCTCCTCCTCCAGGTTCCCGCAAGCCTTCCGCGGCTATCCACTCTTCGGCACCTCCTTCAGCGCCACCTCCACCACCCTCATTCGCTCCTCCTCCGCCTTCATCTGCCGCCCCATCTCTTCCTCCAGCACCTCCCCCGCCGCCTCCAACAGCCGCCCCGCGACCACCACCGGCTCCATCACGTTCGCAGCCCCCTCCACCGCCGCCGCCGTCCTCGTCGACCAGCAATCTTTCCCAGAATATTGCCGTCCAAGCCGCCATCCGTGCTGCGAGCAGCGCCTCTTCACCAGCAGCACCCCCTCCTCCACCTCCGCCCAGCGCTCCTCCTCGCTCAACAGCATCAAGCCCTTCCCATTCGGCTCCCGCTCCTCCGCCTCCACCGCCGCCATCCTCGGCCCCAGCTCCTCCTCCACTCTCCCATTCGCCCTCGACGAGATCGGCACGATCAGGCTCCGGCATCAAGTCCATGCTCGATCCTAGCAACTTCATCCTTACACCGAACGGTACAGGCGGAAACAAGTCTCCAAGTCCAGTGCATTCCGGTGGCGGCAGTGCGAGATACGTCGTCCAGGATCCCAGGTGGAAGTTTGCGAGCGAGGATACCTTTCCGAAACCCAGGGAGTTCATTGGCGGGCCAAGGAAGTATCGCGCTGGCAGGGGAAGCAGTGTGCCGCTGGATTTGAGCGCCTTGTAGGACCGGCACTTGGAGACGAAATGGGATACTTAGAGGAGATTGGGTGGGGTATGGATGATTGTTGAGGGACTAAGCGAGTAGTAGGTGACAAATGCGTAGGACGGGAGTTGGGAAAAAAGGAGGGACGTCAAAGTTGACATTATCGCAAGGCGGTCAAGTTTGTTTTTATTGCGCAGATGCTACTTGACAGTTTTGTGGTGGCATCGTCTTGCGCAGATACTGGCTTGCATCCTTCTTATACCTTCTTGCATATAGTATAATATATCATACCTGCTAGCCTTGCTGGCCGCAGATACACTTGAATAACTGGATCGCATCCTGTTTGACAAATGATTTGCCTTGTGCCTTTTTTGATGTCTGCGTTTCTTTCTTTTTTTTTTTTTTTTTTTTTTTTTTTTTTTTTTTTTTTTTTTTTTTTTTTTTTTTTACTTTCTCTTTGAGAAAAAAACAAACAGACAAAAAGTCACCCCTCGTTCTCTCTCTCCACTGAGATGCCACTGTTACGTAGCTTTAATTCCGAGAGGAAAGTTGGACACTCTAAATAACTGAGTCCAGTTCCCATGATGAACATGGCGGACTCATGCTAGGGAACCACCCGAGCTGGACGGACACAAGGCAGATTTTACCAAAGCACTACACATGACTTCTGAAAGTGAATTTTTATCACCGCCATCGCACCATATCAAGATTGGGGCCTTGTGTAGGTAGGTAACTGGGTAGGTGTACACATCATGATACATACACATACATAACGTGGTCCGTAGCACTGTTACTAATAGCGGGTAGGAGTTCTTGTGTGGATAGATAGATACCTAGGTATGCATGTGATAGCGCAGGATAAAAAGCATTTGCAAAACAGCTAGATAAGTAAGTACAAAATGACAAGCGGCTCTCAAGTAAGCCAAACGAAACTAAATCGGATTGAACGGAACTGCAAGAGTAGAGAAAACATGAAATTTGGGTGGATCAAGAGGAGAATAGTAAAAAAAAAAAAAAAAAAAAGAAAAGGAAAAAAGGAAGATAAACAAGTCAAAGAAGAAATATTGCCGATAGGAACCAGAAGACAATAAAAGCAGAAAGATGGTAAATCAGGGAGAGAGAGAGAGAGGGGAACTTATCACGGGAAAACAACAACGGGGAAAAAATCAGGGTATAGCAAAATGATATTGTTCCTCCCAACGTAGATATTTCCTCCTCCACAAAAAAGAGAAATGGGAGACTTGGCATGGAAAGAAAAGAATTGGGGGTGTCTTCATGGTATGGTGTCTGTTATCAGGCGTAGTGCGTGCGTGCGTGCGTAGCTATGCGAGGCCGTTCGCTCTTAGTTCTCTTGTCTTGAGAATTGGGATAATTCCTATTGAAAGGTTTTGATATGGGTTAATGAGAAAACTAAGAGAGACTGGCTCACTAAAGATCATGCTTACGCTGTCAGATCTGTCCTGACATTCGCCTAGAAATTGTAGAGTCCACACCACCGGCGCCCCCGTGGCTGGGGAGAGGGATGGGAGTGTCACTGTCCTGTTAATGAGAAGATTTCTTTTTGGTTCAGGCTTGCTTTTTGGCCTGGGACTAACGATGGGAGTCTTTTCATACCTTCGGGTCATCGTAGAAGGGATCGTCTTCCTGCGGATCATCGTCTCCATCTCTAGGGGGAGGTGGCGCGGTAGGAGGGGTGTTTTCAAGAGTGTTCTCGTGGTTTGGGGTTGATTCATGATGGTTCGACTGGCTCATGGTGAGTTTGTTTTTATTGTTTCTTGACTTCTCGATCGCAAGTAAATTAACCAAAGATGATTCTGAAGGTCGATGTCGGTGTGACTAGTCATTATTCACTTCCTCGTGCAAGCGTACTGATATTTATACTTCTGAAGATCCTCCCTTTTGAGCCTCAAGTACGTACACATCCTCACCAAGCGGGGTTCCCGAGCTTAATCATGAGAGCAGTTCATCTCTATTGCCATACCACCTGCTTGTAGGTGTACCGATGCATCACTGTTGTCCGGTTATCGGCAGTCACACTATGCTCCGGACGGCATCTCTAGACCATCCTAAGGATCGCGGTGGTTCGAACGATGCTCTGACAGCGTCTCTCGCAGAGCCTCAACCTCCATACACTACTCAGGGAGTTTGCGTTCCCCCGTTCCCCGATCACACTTCTTCTCCTCATCTCTGCATGTACGCAACGTCTCAGTGGGTATGTGGAGGGTGTCCAGAATCTTGGTTCTGCCCGCACCACACAACGGTACGTGCTAGTTGCAGGGGAAGCATTCCTGCCCCGGCTTGGATTGTCGCTCCGCACTAAAGAGCGAATGAAAACAGACCCGGCAGTCTTTCGATTCTCGAATATTATGTTGTGCAAGTTGTCCTGCATACAGTTGCCTATCTCTGAAAGGGTCGCTGAAATCGCAGAGCCGCAAACATCAGGGGCATGAAATGGATTAGTAGATCGTAGACGTGGCACCAGAGAAGAAGGACGATATGAAATAGTTGAGTGGTGAGTTCGGATTCGTGGAAGGGCGAGTGCCATCTGCGTAAAAGAGGTTATGTGTGTGGATTTAGAAATGCATACCTCGAGATACGGCAGCCCTGATATGGTCTGAGCGTCAACCAGAGCCCTTGCGAACCTGTTGACTTGTTGTATTCCGAAAAAGGGAACCATGGACCCAGGAGTCCAACGCGTAGTCCAATGTCAGATAACACTGATTTGTCTCGCCTTGTTTGCGGAACCACACTAGTCCCGCTTATAACCGTGTTTTGTTCGAAGCACTTTGTGAATGAAGGATGTCTCTTTTGACGACCATCCGGTGGACAATCTGAGCCTTGCGAAATGGTCCCACTCAAGTCATCAACACAGCTTCACCAAAGGAGAGCGGTTGAAAAGGTCAGTCGAAGGTGCCCTTAGTGCCGGCCTCTGAGCTTTTCGCAAATCCTCCACATCGTCAATCTTGGCGATAACTGCCAAACGGGGAGTGGTCGTTCAAAGCTGCCGGTTATGAGGCCCTCTCGTACCACCTCCAATGCGATCAGAGTGCTGACATACTTGAGGTTGGTCGTGACCCAGCCTTATACAATCTCCGCTCTCGTCGCCGCTATTCGGGTTATTGCAGACTTGAGAAGCGAGGACAGGACATTCCCCATTCAGAGCACGAGATCGGAAACGATTGCCACGTCAGAGCCGGCTTGAAGAAGATACCGTTGGCGGGCTCAATGACGCGCCTTGAGTGGCAGTTAGTGACATAGCTGCATAGAGCGTGGGGTACGCTTAGCTCATTTGAATAACCGTATATAGGAGGTAGGTGTTGTTATATGGTTGGAGTATCCTCTTCTGTACGGCGTCGAAGGGGGTGACCAGACACGGCTGTGAAGGTGGATGATACGTCGTGCTCCAGCGGTCAATGAACGGAATGGGTGTGTAATGGGCGAATTATGCTCGAACTGTCATGTGGCAACCAGGTAGGAACCGCACAACGGGACGGAAGACGGGAGAACGGCTCGAGAACGGGTACTTGGGTCAATGAACCAGTGCTTCGCATTCGCTTGAAATGGTTACACCGGCACTGGAGCGGAACGATGATTGCTTCCGTGCATCCAGTAAGGAACTCTACTCGGAAGCAGCGCCGTGAGTTGGACAGAAAGGCTGAGCTTGACAAGAGACAAAGGACCATGAAATACTCTGTAGTGGGCTAGTAGATACCCAAGTAAGTGCTCAAGCTAGGAAAGATGGAACCGAGCTTGAAGGGTCAAAAAAAGCGTGCGAGATGGAAGTGACCGACCGTAGTTGTCAGGATACTGTACCGACACGCAGGCGAAGTTGAAGATTCTGGTTGCGTCGCAGTCAGCGTTCCCGGCCATATCATCGTAAGAATCAACAGAACATGTTCAATCCAATACCATTCGCTTTGACTAGGAAAGGCCGTTGCAGAGCTGTGACTCGTATCAAGCCGAAAATACGTCGGCCAGGGTCTGTAAGGAACGAATGGTTTGACTCTCAACATGTCTCAGATTTCGTTCCACAGGTGCAATAAACACACATGGATTCGTGCAAGAATATCCTGAAGGTGTGTTATTAGACCGTGAGGTATTCGACTTACCTTTCGACCGCTCGCCGACCAAACAGTCTTTTACAGTGTATGGGACGAACATCAAAGTTGCTCAGTGAGATAAGGGGAGCATGGATAAGTACTCATGCCAATGCAAATGGCCAGCTCAGACAGGCTTCGGCTTTCCTACACTATGGTACTACATTCCTGCTCAAACATTCGAAAAGCCGACTTACGCCATAGGTACATCATATCGCTACATCACAGAACCGTGATCGTCGAAGTGGGTAGACAACAGTGGTGAGGCTCGAGATCTCTTTGAAGAGACGAACTACATACCTTAGTTGCAAGCGCCCGAACTTCGAGAAAGATAAGATGGCGAGCATGAACTGAACACACGAGGATAAGGTCTTGAGGTTTGTCGGCCGGAGGTAGTGACGTTTGGTATCTCTAGTGACTTGGTGGAAGCTTTTGGGTCTTATCGATTCTTATCCATGACAAGTGGAAGTTCGTCCATTGAAGCCAGGCTCGACCAGATAAGCACGTCATTTGGGGTTGACGATGGGCAGGCGACCATCCCCAGATCAGCATGCAAAGCCAATCAGAAGCAGGGACGGCCCTCGACTTGCACGCTTGAAGGTCCAGTTGCAACTGACAGGTCTCCGGAGGATGGATCACGCTCTCCGCCGCTAAAACATCCATGGCTCAGCGTCCACCAGACCACAGCCCAGGCTGCCCAGGTGCCCTTCCCCCCCCCCCCCCCCCCCCCCCCCCCTCTCTCAAGTGTCCGCCCGCTCAGACCACCTACCTCACCTTGGCACGGCAGGCTTCCACTTCCCCCATTTACACCAAGACCACGCCTCCCAAACACACCTTTCCCTGTTCGCACGCATCCCCCCAAGGCGGCTTCGCGTGCTCAAAGAAAACCCCAACAAAGCCTCCGTTCCCTGGGTATCTGGCTCCAAGATTCATTCTTTTTGGTGTGCCTCTTTGCTTGACTTCCATTAGATGCAGTTCCACAGATAATACGTAACTATTCACGAGGTCCCTTCGGCCGTCCGCTTTGATAGTACCACCACCCTCCGTACTTGCTCCGTGACTGGGCTTCTCTTCTTTCCAGATTGCCAACATCATTCCTCGCCCCCTGTTAACGAAACCGCGTTCATTCCTGTGCTTTCCCGCGTTCGGAGGCGGGAGTTGTTGGTTCCCCTAGGACGTCTTCCGGGGACTGGTTTAAGCAAGTTCACCTTGTCGGTGAGCATTGCGCGAGTGGACTTTGCCGTGCTGACGTTCACGGTACCAAACCCGTCTACGTGTCCTGCCTCCGGAGTTTCACCATGGCATCCCCCGATCCTCTACGACGGCCGGTGGATGGCCGTCGTAACGATGGTGAGTTGGCCCTCAATATCTCCAGTAACCTACCACAACACGCGCTCACATCACTAGATTCCTGGGTTGAGATCGCATCGCAACCATCGTCATCCTCGTTGTCGTCGATAGGAGATGAGATTGTAACTACGGGCCTCCGGGTCGGCAACAACTCATACCCTCGAAGACGGAGACGATCCCAACAGCAAGCACCCATGCCTGCTTCTTTCATCGTCAGCCAACCGAATCCCCCTGCCGGGACGAGCAGCCAGGATGAATACGATGAAACTGAGAGCGAGGAGGACAGAGTCATGACTAGCTCGACAGAAGGCGTTCATCCAGCAGCCAGCTTGCCCCGTCAACAGACTGCTTTCCGAAGCGGCCTACCAGTAGACTCGGAGGACGACTCGGATGATGATGAAAATGCGACTGCTCTCGGCCGGCCAACCAACACGGCCCGGGGTGCCTTTAGGCCGCAGCCGAACGCCTTCTCTCATCCACCATCCTACATGATGCAGCGCCACCAATCCGCAAGTCCGTCCCACCCATATCATCCCGCGCAATCCCGGCCATCCATGCCAACCCGGTCGCAATCCCGGTCGCATCGTGCATCGCACAACTTTCTGTCCCCAGCTCTGCAAGCCGACAACGACGCCGCGCTTCGTGCTTCCCTCACCACCCTCTTGTCATGTGCCGCTGCCGCCCGCGGCCTTCCCAAGGGGGAAGAGGCAAGCCCAGGTCCTGCTGGTACCGGCGTAATGCCCAGTTCCCAGCCAATGGAGTTCCGCCTGGTGCCAGAGTCTGAACTCATGGCCGAAGGTCCTTCCGGAATAGGGCTGCCGCTCAACCAGGCCAAGGCACAACAACCAGCAAGGACCGCCTCCAACTCCAGTGCACCAAGCGCTCCGCGATCCGCCAGCTCTGGCCGGGACCAGCAACAGCAGCAATATCAACAAGGTCTTGCCACAACCGAACGGACCAAGCGGGGAGCTAACCCTGCCTCGAAACCAGCGCGTACCGCGAAGAAGAGGAGGGCAAACTCACCCTCGCCAGCGGGGGTTGTGTCAGATAACGATGTCGCCTCCCCCTTCTTCCTAAGCCCGACCGTGTTGACATGGGTGGTAAGCGCCGGCGTGGTAGTTCTCGTGTCAGTCGTCGGGTTCGGCGCCGGCTACGTCATTGGACGGGAAGTCGGCCGACAAGAGAGCAGTAGCGCTCTAAGCCTGGCCTCTGCTGGATCAGCGGCCTCGAACGCTTCTTCGAGCTGCGGCCAGGAGTTTGTGCGGTCTACGACGAGCGGAACGCTGAAGAGGTTTAGGTGGGGCTCGGTTGGAAGGAGTGTCGTTGCTTGAACGACGCAACGCGTTACGACTTTGACGAGCGGCATGTCTATCGATCGGCTTCAAAGATGAAAGGAAAAAAAGGAGGGAGAACAGAACTCCTGGTCAGCCAGCCAACATGCTCTTGTACAACACGAGCTTCATGATTATTATCCACTAAAGCACTAACGATAACGGCAACTGGCTGCTACCAACTACGGCTACGGCTACGGCGGGAATTAACTCTCGTCATTCATCATACCGATAGTGCTAGGCCAAATAGGTCTTTCACGCAAAGAATTCAAGTCGATGGACGACGTTGGAAGGAAATATTCCCCAACAAATGCTGCAAAGATAGGAGAGAACGACCGTATGCAGAACATTTACCTCCAATATCTGGCAACATAGGGACAGCCATACGCATACACGCATCATTAACCTTCTTAATCTGCTATTTTCTTCTTATTTTCTTCCCATCTTGGTTGTTTCTTTCTTCGGGACTCGGATTTGGTCGCGTTCTTTTGGTTACCCGATTTGGTTGCAGGTCTAGGTTCTCTTTTTTTTTTTTTTTTCCGGTGTTGCGTGACTTTGGCTTTAGTTTGGGCTTCTTTGTGTATCGACTGTTGAGATGACTTGTAGACGAACCGAGTTCATTGAAATCAACTTTTTGGGGGATTTGCTTTGTGACACTTTGGGAGCTATCACGGTCAACTGTGAGCATATTGAAACACCGAACGAATGATCAAGGCGTTTGTGAACGAGCAGTTTTTTGAAGATCCTATCGACATACACACAAGTCTACGTCTCAAAGCACCACATGACCAATATAACGTCAAGTCACATCTTTGGAACATCACAGTTACTGAACAATACTTCTTTCTTGCTACTTCTAGTCCGTTGGGACTTGGGTATATGAAACAGGGGAAGAGTATCAGATTACTTACCGGGTAATGTTCGTTAAGAAGGATCACCCGTGTTCTGTACCGTTACGCCATCGATGATGTATCGTGAAGGGCAAATGCTGATATGAAAAAAAGAAAAAGAAAAGACCCGAAACCCATTTTAAGTGCCCCCAGGTGACCCCGTGATTGTACCGGAAAATCCCAAACCAACTTTTAGATGCCCTCTTTAGTAACCCCACAGGAAGAAGCAATGACAATAGTATGCGGAAAAGAACAGGAAACGATGAACCACCCCCGAAGCACAGACTGGATAAGGCTGTGTGAACACATGTTTGTGGCATGTGCAAGTACAGGTCCTCGCTTGCTCCGTTCTTCCGTTTTGTCAGCTAAAGCCCACAAGAGCCCACGAGCCCACAGAGTACTTGGAACCCATCAATCTTCTGGTATGCATCGAATCCAAAGTGCAGACGACCGCGAAAGGGTCATGGAACCAGCCAACAAGCCCACCGGCAGAGGTCCTAACTTTCCTGTTGAGAGAAAGAACAGACGTGCCATGTACGAACGAGCTGTCAAAGAGCTACCAGCTCACCACCATCTTCAAGCCCTCAGGTATCGCTTGCTTTCCCTGCCACGCAGCAGAGAAGCAGTTATCTCTCAAAAAGCCCACGATCTCCCACGAAGGAGACACTGTAAGATTTCAAAAGCCGACAACCCACTAAGCCCTCCAGTGCGAATCTGTGTTTCAATGCCCTCAGGTTATGGTATCACATTCCCCAATGTGTGCGGGAATCCCACTTGACCACTTTAGAAGGTGGTCTTCTTGCCCTGGAAGCCACCACGGCTACCACCGAAACCACCACGTCCGCCACCGCGGCCACCGCCACGGCCACCGAAGTCACCACGGCCACCACGGCCACCACCACGGCCACCGAAGCCACCACGGCCACCGCCACGGCCACCACCACGGCCGCCACCGAAGCCACCACCGCCACCGTTGTTGTCACGGGGCTTGGCGTAGTCGAGACGGACGGGACGGCCATTGAGGTCGGAGCCGTTCAGCTGCTCGAAAGCGTTCTTGGCATCCTCAACGGAGTTGAAGGTAACATAGGCGAAGCCCTTGGGGCGGCCGGACTCCCTGGAAGACTGTTAAAACTCTGCTCGGCAAAGATACACACATAGGTATGGAGGGGATACTCACTGGTCGGTAGGGATACGGAGGCTGGCAACGGAGGCGACGGAGTTGAAGAAGTCGGAGACGACAGACTCGTCAGCGGAGAAGGGCATGTTACCGACGAAGAGGGTGTCGGACTCGGGAGAGATGGTGTCGCCGTGCTTGGCAGCGCGGTTGGCGGCCTTGTCCTGGGGCTTGTTGCCGGCATCCTTGGCAGCGAAGTCGAGACGCATCTCACGGCCCTCAAGAAGAGCTCCGCTCTTGGCATCATAAGCCTTCTGCGCCTGCTCGTTGGTGGCAAAGTCGACGTAGCCGAAACCGCGCGAGCGGCCAGACTCACGGTCAGTGACGACGCGAGCGCTCTTAGCACCCTCGCAGTCCTCGAACTCAGCCAAGAGGATGGCATCATCGATGCCCCAGCCGAGGTTACCAACCCAGAGGGTGCTCTTGTCATCAGCAACCTCCTCAGTCTTGGCCTTCTTGGGAGCCTCCTCCTCCTCGGAGGACTCCTCAGCCTTGCGCTTCTTGGAAGGCTCCTCGGACTCAGACTTCTCCTCGGACTCGGAAGAGTCAGAGTCAGAGTCGGAATCGGAGTTGTCGGAGTCGCTCTCCTCATCATCGGACTATAAGCAGACGTGGGTTAGCAGATGTGTGCTAAGAAGAGGAGGTTGTGTTGTACTCACGCTCTCCTTCTTCTCCTCCTTGACGGCGGGCTTCTCCTCCTCGGAAGTCTCCTCCTCAGACTCGGAGTCGTCAGAGTCAGAATCGGAGTCAGAGTCGGAAGACTCGGCCTTCTTGGTCTCCTTGGCGGCAGGAGCGTCGGTCATCTCCTCATCGGAAGACTCGTCGCTGGACTCCTCCTCGCTGGACTCCTCCTCAGAAGACTCAGACTCGGACTCCTCCTCCTCGGAAGAGGACTCCTCCTTCTTGGACTTCTTGGAGGGCTTCTCAGCCTTGGTGGCCTTGACGGGCTTAGCAGCCTTGACGGGCTCGGCCTTGGTGACCTTGGTGGCCTTGGTGGCCTTGACGGAATCCTTCTTGCCCATGATAGCGGTTATTGTGAAGTGATGTGATGAAGTGATGAAATCCGCTACAGGGTATTGAAGAAAAAGGAAGGATGAAGATGATGAATGGGATAAAGGATGCGTCTGAAGAAAAGAAATTTCGTCGGGAAGACTGCTGTTTAAATGGGGAGCAGAGGGTGGCGGGTACCGTAAAATCTCTGGCTGATCAACCTACGGCAGAAAAAAAATCGTTATCACACTTTGATATGGGACTTTCTAGTGGGGCAGGGGACCTGGGGCAGTGGAGGATCCGGGTGGAGGTTATGTACACACGCGAAGGCGGTGGCCCGCGCACGAGCCGCGGTGGGGATGTTCGTGCCACCTGAAAGTTCCTTCCCATGCCTGCCACGGCCCACGACCCCCAGTCAATTGTAACTTTACTGCATGGTGCAAGAGACGAACAGCATTTGGGCTAGCGCGCCCCTGCCTGCCTGGTTTCCCAGGTGTGCTGTAAAGCTCGAGCCACCATACGACCGGGGCACCACTTGGAGCTTAGAGATGCGCCGTGTTGGTTGCAACGGCATCATCGACGAGACGAAAGTGCGGGACGACAAGCTGCGTCTCTCTCCCTCTCTACAGCTTTGTTTGACGACAACTTGTGCTTTCGGTCTTCTCTCGCGAGTCGCCCACATCTAGCAGCAATGCCTACTCCCGAATCGGCGGCCTTCCTGGCCAAGAAGCCCACCGTCCCGCCCACCTTCGACGGCGTCGACTACAATGATACGAAGCGCCTGAAGCAGGCCCAGGATGCCATTATCCGCGAGCAATGGGTCCGAGTTATGATGGGTCGCCTGGTGCGGGAGGAGTTGTCCAAGTGCTATTATAGGGAGGGCGTGAACCATCTGGAGAAGTGCGGACATTTGAGAGGTGGGTACAAGAGTGCTTCGCATCTCCCGTGGCTCTTCGGCGGCAGACCCATTCAGCAATTGCATGCAATCAGCCATGCGATGGTGCTTTTCCCCCTTCTTTTGCTGACTTGTTTCTGACACAGAACGCTACCTCCAACTACTCTCCGAAAACCGTGTCCAGGGTTATCTTTTCGAGCAGCAGAACCATTTCGCGAACCAGCCAAAGCAATGAGTTCTCCACCATCATTCTGGGAGCAGACCGGAGGGTACAAGCTGGAGCGAGCTGATTTGGGGCTGAAATGATCTGGGCAGCGAGAGTTTTGGCAGGGCAGTGCGCTCGAGAACCGGAGAGCGAGTCAGTCATGGTCGAACCGGGAAGGGGCTCCATAACATCGCGGACCACCCTTTCAGACGTCCGGCTTCAGCAACCCCCAGAGGAGTGCTCGGGCCCTTTAATGAGACTTACGAGCAGGCATGTAAATATCAACAGAACTCGGCAACAACAGACACACGGGGGACTAGAGGAATAACAGGACTCAATAATGACCTCCATTTTTATTTATTCTTTTTGCACGTATGTTGTCAGTACAGTTCGCAGATCTAGACTATAGAATACATAAAGTGCTTTGTCACGGCCCTAGTGACAGTTGCAGCTGTTCCTGTCCAATATCAAAACTGCCTCAGTGGTGCTTTTCACCCGCCGTAGAAATTTTTAGCTCCCGTCCCACCCCTCCAATTCGTCGCGCGCATCCCGTGTCCGTCTCCCCAGGCCGAAAGCCACTTCCGGCCGGCGTTCCTTTTTTACAATCGCACCCGTCAAGGTGATTAGCGAGTTGTCTTTCTGTCCAACCGATCCGATCCTTGGTGTTATTTCCTCCCGCTGGCCGACTGCCGACGAACACACACATACACCCTCCGACCATCCCCCGGGATAATCGCCATGATCTGCCGAACGTGTTTGCGCCGGGCTTCCGGCTTCGCCAGACCTGCCGCCGCCGCGGCCACCAGGCCCATGGTTGCCGCTAGTTCGCGCGCCGCCTTCAGTACCACTTTCAGCGTGTGCACTCCTCCCGCAGCGACCCCCGCCGCCGCCGCACCAGCAACTTCCACAGCCGAGGCCGGCCTCGCACCAGTACCAGGAGCCGCGACGACAGAACAAGCCAAGGCGGCCATCTCGTCTTGCCCGGCGGGCACCAAGCTTAACGGTCTCAACTACTTCAAGAACAAGGCGGATCCCGTGGCGCTGCCAGACGAGGAGTACCCAGAGTGGCTCTGGAGGTGCTTGGAGGTGCAGAAGAAGACGGACGATGCTGCTGATGCGGACGCTGGCGATGAGTTCTGTATGTTGCCAACCTACCCATCTACCTACCTCCCTACCTTCCTTTTCCCTCCCCTCCCAAAAAAAAGCAATCCAGACTAACACAATCTCCTTCTTCCAAAAGCCAAATCCAAGAAACAGCGTCGCCTAGCCATGAAGCGCGCGCGCGCCCAAGAGGCCAAGATTCTGGCTTCCGGCGACCTCGAGGCCCTGGCACCCAAGATCCCGCTACAGAAGCAGTCGGTCAACCTTCCCGGAGCTGTGAACGGCGGCGTGCAGGACGCGGTGCTGGCGGACGAGAAGCGGGAGGAGCTGCGCAAGGCGATGCGCAAGGAGCGCAAGGCCAAGATCAAGGAGAGTAACTACCTCAAGGCTATGTAAGCATGAGGGGTGGTGGTGGTTCGAGAGGCAAAGGCCTGAGGGAGGAGGACGACGAAACAGGGGAGGAGATGGGTGGGAAAGAAGAAAAAGCAAAGGGGGGGCACGTGGAGGGAGAGAAGGAGGGACGGCTAGAGCAGCAGCAGCAGCAGCAGCCGAGTTGATGTGGTGGGTTCGTGTGTGTACTACTAACATCCAATCGTCCAAGAACGAATTCATGGCATGGCTACGGGCACGAAAGCGGACATGGACATGGGGGAATTGTCCTGAATGCAAGAAAACTATATACGGCTTTGGGAGGGTGAAGGGCCTGAGAGCCTTGAAGTGGACAGCCAGAGAGCCATTTGCTGTGGTTAGATCCAAAAATGATTCTGTACAAATACATGTGATAAGTAACCATAGATATTTGGAAAGTTTGGACAACAGGTCAGAATTTTGCTCGTGTGCTTGCTTCCCAAGATTCGGTAAATATATTGCCTAACAAATGCTGTTTTTTTGTGCCGCTCGTTGGGCATTCTAAAGTTGGTGCTATTCACTGCGACTTGTGAGTTTCTGGCTAGCATGATATAATATGGCCCATACGATAATCCTTTCTCTGAAATAGATTCCAGGTCCATAACAGCACAGCTTTAATACCCCCTTCAATCTTCCTCGGACACCTCACCGATCGAAGATTGCTTCAGTTTAATCTCCGACTTGATGTTCTTTATACTGCCTTCCAGACGTTTCTTCATGATAATGCTTGTTGCCTTGGACAACTGCTCCTCGTACGAGGCCAGCTGCTTCCTCAGTGTGGCAATCTCAGCCTTGACTCCCGCCACCTCATCATGGCGCTCTTCATCGCCGTCGTCGTCCATATCACCCTCATCATCCTCGTCGTCTTCATCTGATTCGTCCTCCTCGCTGACTGCTTCGGCCGCACTCTCCTCGGTTTGTGCAGCGGTAGGCGTACCCGTGTTGGCGGTGGGGGGCGTGGGAAGATCCATGCCGCCGCCTAACGCCGTGGGCGTGGCAGCGCCAAAGTCCATGGCGTCCATTGCTTCGGCAGGTGTGTCTGCCGCGTTTTCGAATTCTGCCTCGAGATCGTCGAACAGGTTGTCGTCGTCTTGGTTCTGCACATTTGCGTCCCCGAAATAGTCCTCTAGTCGGTCTTCTTCACCTCCCATGCCTCCGTCCTCGTCACCGTATTCGTGATCGGACTCGGGCGCAGCGGTATTTCCGTGCCCGCCCTCTGCTACAAGCTCGTACCTGGAGTTGAGGGCTTCCCTGTCTGCTGCCAGCAACCGCTCGACCTCGGCTTCCTTGTTCTGGATTTCCAGTTTGCTGAGGCGTTTTCTAAACCTCCGGTTTCGTGCATCATGCATCGGCGGGGTGATACCATGGGGCCATCTGTGGCCATGCTCGACAGCCTTGGGCAAAGGAACCGACTTGGCTTCCGCCTCGTCTTTGACCTTAGCAAAAACAAGGATCATTTGGCAAATGTCGGCTGACTTGACCATGGATTTCTTGTCCCACGTCTTCATGCCCTCGGTGATTGTGGGTAGATCAACCAGGATGGCGGCGTACGGTTGCCCTTGAATAACAAACATTACTCGCCGTCCTTCTTCATCCAGAAACTTCATTGTAACATCGGCGCCACCCAGATGTTTTGGAACGCCCACTTTCCTTTCAGCCACGGCTTTCCGCAGATAGTCGCAGTGCTCACCAGGCATCATGCGTAAAATCAGCTGCTCTTCAATTACTGGGTCGACTTCCCTATCATCGGCCTCCGAATCGTAACCCTCCCCCAGCGGCCGCGTCGGTATTTTACCCTGCGATTTTAGGCGAACCTTGGGAGCTAGAAGCGGAGTTTGAACCGGGGTTGTGCCCGAAGGTGCCTTGATCGTGATCTTCTTGGGCCTTGACTCTCCCCCAATGCCATTCGCTGTCGGACCGTCCTCCGCCTCGCTCTCTTCTCTCGGTCTCTTTCTCGCCGCCGCATTCAAGAAGACTTTACTTGCCGTCTTGGGCTTGGACATGAAGATGTTGGGAGCAGCCGAGCTTCCTGTTGATATCCGTGGTAGTGTCGGCTGAGATGAAGTGTTAGAATGCGACGGCGGTCTCGGCCCGGCTGGCGTTGGTGGTTGTGAGGATGTGCCCTTGACGTTGAGCTTGATCTTGCGAGGGCCCTGTGAGCCCCCCGGTGTCTGAGGAGGTGGCGAGGCGGCAGAGAGGTTATGGCCAGGCCCAGGTGTAACTGCCGGTGATCCCGTCCTGCCTGCTTGAGATGAGCCATTGGATTGAGTGTTGATTTTGAGCGTCAATGTCCGCTTCACTGGCCCTGGTGGGTCCATGTTTGCTGTTTGTCGTTGCGCAAGGCGCTCTGGTAATCCGTTTCAGTGGTTTGCTGCGGCGTCTTGAGGTCGTGTGACGATGAGGACGTTGGGGAATAAAGCGAATGATCCCGAGAGCACTCGGAGCAAATGCTCAATCGCTGAGTACTAGCGTGGTATGGATAGTCGGCGTCGAATTGGGCGGAAGGCACCGGCACGAGGTTACCTCTGGGTATTAAGAATGGGCGGCTGGTCGTGACTGAACAATGATTTGACCGTCAAGATTTCGATGAGGGCGAGGTGATGACGGACAGGCGCGATGCCTCTTTGTTGCTGCCGGGGGTTGTGGATTGAACAAGGTATGAGGTCCGTAAGTACCTATGCTCTCCTTAGCTTTCTTTGGCGGGCCTGGGCGCGAGCGGGAGGTTTCTTGGTGGGCGGGGAGGAAGGCGGGAGGTGAGGCGCGCTCAGTGCAGCTATCAAAGCCGCTGTTGCGACAAGCGCGTTCTGAAAGTGGAAATGATGCAACGAGCGTCAGCGAAATGTTAAAGTGGGTGGGCCCCCTTTAGCTAAAGTCCGTGGTTGCACGGTCCAAATCGGAGCTTGGCTTTCAAGACTCCACTACGGTTCCTCAGCGGCAGGTGGGGTACAATAGAAACGTGCCGCTGTCCAACTGTTCCAGAACGTCCTGTGTACTTCGACTTGACATGTGCTTTTCTGATGAAAATCACCCATTCTAGTGTATCAATGCGACTGGCCCAAGTGAGAAGAAGGTTTGGTATTGTCAAGAAGCTTGTATCCCTCCAAGATACTATTTTACCTCTTACACTACTTTGAATAGAGCACGATGCCGTGACAATGTGGACCTACTTGTAATGTCTCCTCAGTTTCACCCGCCAAGAGCCCGGAAACTCTCTATGGCTTCTGTCTTTCATCCAATCCTCTTTTATTTCCTCTCCATATTGTCAACCATAATCAACAAACAAAACTTTCCTAACATGCATGCATTGGCACTCTTCGTCGGCTTGTAACTTCTTCGAGGTTACGCAGTGACCTTTACCTCCGGCGAGCATTGAAAGGACCCAGTTCCAAGATCACTGCACGGCAGTGACGATACCCATCCCCGCCCCACTAGAGCTGCCTGCCGCAAGCCCGCAAACTCCCTCGAAAACCTAACCCACCTCGTCGCCTGCGATTGAATTGGAGGAAAACCAATTTCCATCTGTTGCCAGCAACGCGCTGCTATCGCCACGGTTCAGCCCACGTCATTTTTCTTGGTATAGCTGATCAGTCTCCGACTCTGACTACTTGTCGTCCCCACTGCATCGACAAGCAGAAAGACACGAAACCTCGAAGACAGTGTCTCGATAACGAAGAACAAGTGCACGAGGCCAGGCGCGTATGGCAGTTCTAGATCTGCAGCGCGCCCATTCACCTACCCTCTTGACTGCCATCATATCCAATCAGACCTGGCACCTTTGTAGACAACAACCTTTCCCAACGACATTTCTCGAGCAACGCGGCGCCATCCTCGACATCAAACCTACCTAGCTGAAACCGAGCGACTCTCGCCAACATGACACCCCCACCATACCTCTACCACGCCCTCCTTCGGCCTTCGATTCTCCAGATCCTCCGCGCAGCCGGCTACCACGGCGCCCGCACCTCCGTCCTCGACTCAGTAACGGACATGGCCGCCCGCTACCTGGACGCGCTTTGTCGCCTCACAGCCACCTTCGCCGCGCACAATAACGAAGAGCCCGAGACGGGCGAGCTGGTACCAACGATAGTCGACGTGCGCATGGCCCTGCAGCAAATCGGCGCTCTGTTACCCGAGAGATCGGAACTGGAACAGCTGTATAACGGCGTGGAAGACACTCGGGGAGTGGACGCCTTTGTCGCGTGGGCGGCAGGTCCTGTCAGCAAGGAGATCAAGAGGATAGCACTTGACAGTGACGAGGCGACGGATTATCTCAATGGTGAGTTCAATCTTCTGCCTGTATCCAGGTCCCGGCAGATAGGTTCACCTCAGACTCGATCCGATCAGCTAACAGCAGTCTATCTATAGCTCTCAAGCTAAAACACAGCAAAAACGACGACGACTCTCGCTACACGGGCTCGCTCCTCGGCAAATGCATCGAACATGGCAACGTCGAGGTGGAAGGTGGCAAATACCACAGCATCGCCCTATGGGAGGAGAAGATGAAGGAAGCCGCGCGACGACCGACATCACAACCACAACCCCAAGAAGACAAGCCGGAGGACATCAACGGCGACAGGGAAGATTCGCGCCCGCCAAGCTCCGGGCTGAGCTCGATTGGCGACCAGAGCATAGCCGACCCCATGGACTTGGAATGAGCGAATACACTGAGGTCCTGGAGTTTGGCTGAGACTCGGGTCATTTGCCTGAGGTGGAAGAAGGACCTGACGTTATGCCCGAATTATCGATGCCGACATTATGAGGCTGCAGGCGAACGCCAATGGACTTTTTAACGTATGTTGCAGTAGGAACCAGCAGGGGAGGGTCCTCACGCCGGACCAGGTTGGGAAGAGAATAAGTGGAAAGACTGAAGGCAAAGTCGAGATGTTTCATTCCAGTTGGGTTTTGGCGGTTTACAAAAAGCATAGCGATGGCGTTCTGGATACTCAGACGAAGCATTTGAAGAAAACTATTTGGTGGGGAGTGGCTTGCGTTGTGTTATATCCTATTAAGGGCAGTATCAGCTTGCAGCAAGGAAAAGCATGGACTTTATACCCAGGTTGGATGATAGGGCAGCAGTTGGAAGACTGTACTGTGTTGTTGTATATGATAGGGAACGGACAGGATGATGAACAGAGTTGACCATCATTTCGGTCCTTGACGAGTACTGCCAAGAATACGACTCAAAGTGAATTTCATGGTATCATTTAACAGACGGTTGTTTTGAGAGCTTGAAGCATTATGACGTTCTTGTCAGCGCAGTGTTGTGCTCTTGAAGATTAACACACATGGTCGGTATCACTCTTCGAACAAGTAAGTGCCTGATCCATTAATATGCGGCAAGACCAAGACCAAACACAGCCCTAACAGATATGACGGATTGAACCATCTGCTACTTTTAGCACAGATTTATGTTTGTATTTAAATAATTTACCAAGAATCCAATGGAATGGATGCCGACCCTTGATGACAACGGGAAACCCAAGATCAACATGACAAAACAAAATCAGTCAGCCCTATACCTTTGGTCCGCCGACCGCCCCCTGTCCCTCGTGGCAGGCGAATCCGGGCTTCGCTTGACCACATCCCCATCCGCAGTGAACAGCGTCTCCGCTACAGCACCGTCAAGAAATCCCCTGCCCTCGTCCTCGACATCCTCGCCCTCTCCGTCTCTCTCACTGCTGCTGCCTCCGCTTCCACTCCTGCTTCCACTGCGGCTGGTAGAAGCAGAAGACGAAGACCCGCTGCCACTGCCACCGCCGACCATGTGAGCCATGTGGACGTTGTTCTGCGCATCCTGACGCATCTTGGAGATCTTTAGGTAGTTGTACATGGCTATGGCGGCCAAAGTGACGAGCAAGCCCATGACGTTGATGACCGTCATGGTGTCACCAAAGACAATGGCCGCGGCTGAGATGGTGACTGCCTCCTTGAAGATTCCGGCAATGGACAGGGTGACGACCGAGGTACGCTTCAGCAGAGCAAACTCGGATGCGGTCATCAGGAAGGCGATGGTTCCGGGGAAGACGATGAGCAAGGGCGCCATGAGCATGCCGTGTTCCTCGGCGATAATCTTCAAGCCGGCAAACAAAGCCGAAAATCCTTCGATGGGAATGGCGATGGAAATCAGGCTGAGGAACATGACGGGGGCGAGGAAAAAGATGCTGGAGAATGGGTTGGACGTGGCCGGGTTGCGGAGAAGCAGGATCTGGGTCAGACCCCAGCGGAAGCCAGAGAAGAACGACGCTGAGATGACGAGGAGGAAGCCGCCTAGCTTGAACTCGACCTCGCCGGCGACCATCATCACGACGCCGAAGGTCATGGTTGCGATAATGGCTACTAGTCGCCATGTGGGTGACTCAAGTCGGAAGAGAAAGGCGAAGAGGAGGACAAAGGCTAGCGAGGAGGATTTACACATGGCTGAGAGAATGGTTAGCAACGGAATACTGCTGTAACACGAGGTAGTGTTACAAGGTCATCGGCAGAGCAACTTACTGTAGAAGGTGAGGGTAATGAATTGTAACGAAGCATTGCCCAGCCCGATATCGAGGCCGGTCGCCAATCCGCAGGGACCGATCCTGGTGAGGTAGAACCACTTGGTCATGACAGGCCGTTCCGGTTCATGCCTCGACTGGCCCAGATCCGACTTGTGCCCATTTGTTGGTCGTAGCGAGGGAAAGAAGAACAAGACAATGGATGCCAAGGAGAACTGCACGAGCATGTGTGTAGCGGTGGTAAATAACGGGAATCGGAAATTGAGCTTCTTTGGGTCAAACATCCATTTGTTATACTGGTGATAGTAGAAAGCAAAGTTAGCATCTGTCTGTTCACAACAAGCAGGAAGGGTGTGTGTTTGCCTACCAAGGATATGCTTAATGAGAAGAAGTACCAGAGGAGAATCAGTGTCACGTTGATGACAGCATTCTTGAGCACCGCCCTGTCCGCCTCTAGCTTCTCTGCTTCCGAGATCCTGTCCCTCGCTATCCTCTGGTCAAGCCGGGTGTTGCGACTTCTCTTGCGGCTCTTCCTCCGTTTGTCCGCACCTGTCAAGCCGGCCTCTTCGTCGATATGGAGGTCCTCGTCCGATAAGTCGTCATCGCTAGGTCCGTCATAGCGTCCCGCAACTTCCTGTACCCTTGTATCCTCCCCAACCAACTTGGACTCGTCGAAATCGATCCCCTTTCCTGCTGATGATCGTGGCCTCGGAGATCGGTGTCTGCTGCTGCTGGATGCGCCAACGGGATTCATAAGACTGCTTCTCCGGCGCCGGTGGCCGCCCCCTACTCCACTGATGGGAGCCATTTCGATTTCGAAAGAGTCCGAGTTGAGATATGGTGTTGCGTCTGTGTGTTTAACAGCTTCGTCGTCCGCACATATCGCTAGATCAAAGTGTTGTTTACTTTTAAGGGTCGAGGTTGCAGATGGAGTGGTACTCAGGACCGCAGGGACGGAAACGGTGTTAACGGTAACGTGTGGGTCTTCTTCTCCGCTGATGTCGAGATTGTAGGACCCTGTACCTGTGCGTCGTGCAGACCCTGTGGGTGTCGCGTGTCCACTTGCGCCTGCGGTGCCGATGCCGCTTGTGAAGGCTGAGGATGTTCCTGGGAGGGCGTGTGGGGTGTTATCGCCGGTTGGTGATGGGGATGAGGCAGAGGTTGCGTCTAGGGAGAGCACGGAGAGCGTCGTCGGTGATGTTCCTTCTTGGGTGGGAGGAGACATGATATTTCAACGAGATGGACGGAGATGCATTATTAGGGGCAGGGGATTTCAATTGGCTCTAGGTACACGGTGCGACTAGACGTTTGAGAAGTTGGAGCGGTCCCTTGCTAGCCGTGCTAGCCTCTGAAGCATATCGAGATGGGCTGAGATTTGCGACGCTCGAGAGTTGGCGACTTGGCGAGGCCAGATGAGCGGTGGAGTGGTGGGAGATCGCGGCAGTCATTGGCTTTGCACCCCAGTTTCATACGATAGAAAAAAGGGTATCGAGGAGCGCCAAGACCCTTTAGGTAAAAGTTTACCTCTTGGGTGGTGAAATCCAGTTTCCATTCCACTTCGAATTCTGATTTCAGTCAGCTGCCGAACGCCCCTGCAGCAGCGTCATGAGGTGGTCGTGTGGTGTACACTCCCGCATAACGTCAACCCTGGTTTTATTTGTTTGTTTGTTTGTTAGTGCGGGACTTCACTACGCACTCTTCGCAACTAGCTGTGTCGCAGGAGCCTCGCTAATAAGCAACCCAGGGTTGAACTAGATACCGTGGAACTCGGTCAACTGGCAAATTCATAGCTTTCCCTCTTTGAGCGCCCGACGGTAGTGTAAGCACATGGAAGCATCACACGTCTGTAAATGTCCGCAGTTACCTCGTGAATTGGGCGATCTCTGGGGGTGGCAAACTGAACGAAGCCTTCAAACCCAGGTGGCAGCCTGTACGGGAAATAGCGATTTTGATCATCTTATAGCCTTAGTTTCCTGTAGCGCCACTAGCGTCATGTCTGGAATGTACACAAAGTCCCTGGTGATGGCTCGTGTGTCTCCAAGATCAATCGACCTCTCACCGCCCAGTCACGTTTGTCGAGTCTCGACCCTCCACTTCTGGTTTCGAATGCAGTGAGATCGCCGCGCTGTGTCACTATGGCTCGAGTGGAATTTCTACCTACCGTGAGAATCGGCCTACCGCGAACCGAGACATACCTCTAGGCCAAGCACCAAGAGCTTGGGGAGGTGTCGATTATTACGCTTAGAGACCCACTTTTACTCAGGGAGATTCTTCCCGGAGGCGGGGTTTGGGTATCTCCCTACAAAATAACAAATTGGGCTGCCTCAGATGGCTCGGTTGACTGGCTTAGCGAGCCTAGCATTCATGAGGACAGCGAAATAAATGCTGTTTAAGATTCCAGACAAAAGAGCAACCGTCATTAAAAAATCCCTTTATCGAAGACACGATACTCAAAGAGTCACTGATATTGACTTGACGCCCGTGTAAGTGGTTCTTGGTGTGACGGTATTGGTTGTGGCCTGGTGCGCCGGTGCGCCGGGATTCCCCACTTGAACCGTCAAGCTACCAACCCCGGTCTCTCGAGATTCAAGTCCAGGTATGATGTAGTTGACATTCACTACAGAGGAAAACCGTCAAGTGGCTGGTGATGTACAATCTAAGTACACGACCGTCAGGAACGAACCTTCACAAAAGAGCCCGCAAACTTCTGTCATGAAGATGATCATTTCGAGGAAAGGTTATCGAAGAACGTTGACAGAAAGCCAACAACCGAACTGAGCTGGTCAGTGACGGAGCTCCTGAGAGACACACATCCGGGGATGTAACTCCATGGAACTGGATCGTCGTTCCCGCGCTCCCTGCAAATCGATCTTGGTGTACTATGATCACTCAACCTTGTGAGGAGCCGCAGAGCAATACCCTCGACAAAAGTCCCAAAAGAGGCAAAGACACGAGGTGGTAACCTGGGGAACTTGGAAGACGATGCTGAGTCAGGAATGATGCTGACCCTACGCACGAGCTGTAATGGATCGGGGCGCACAACCTCGTCGTCTTCAGACGAAGAGCTCCTATGGTGAGATAAAACATAAAATATCTTTTCTACCACATCGATGCTTCTCACCTTTCCCGTTTACTACTGGGTCATCATAAAAACAACCGTACCTTGTACTGTATCTTCCTGCTTTGCTGTCTTCCAAAGCAGACTCGAATCTGGATAACTTGCGGACTCAAGCCGTAAGGCCCTTTGTTCCTTCCTTTCTCAATGCCATCTCAACATCTCCAGGGTGACAAATTCCCGTATTGCAGTCTTCATCAAACACCCGAGCTTCAGTTCACAACTGAAACCGAGCGCTCTATTTGAACACCACTACACACACGATACAGAAAAGAGCTTCAGCCAAGGCGGCTTCTCTTCCATCATGTCAACCGCGGGAGCAACACAGAGCGCCGAAGCTCAAATGAGGAGACGCTGCGGAGGTTATCTTCCTATCGAGAGCTATGGCCTGATTGGCAACATGAGAACATGCGCCCTTGTGGGCATGGACGGCAGTGTGGACTTTATGTGCTGGTAACTCTCACAGCCTTGCTTCATAGCCATGTCTCTACTAACGTCTTTAAGGCCTGAATTTGATTCACCTTCCGTCTTCTGCCGTTTGCTGGATAAGGACAAAGGAGGCTACTTCATCATACATCCTGCTGCCCATCTCGGATGCACCACCAAGCAGCAATACCTGCCTTCTTCGAACATCCTTCAAACCAGGTACATCCATGAGGATGGTGTCGTTGATCTTGTCGATTTCTTCCCCAGGCCCATGAAAACCCAGACTGTCATCAAAGGACTGAAGGCGAGTGCCTATCGTGAGATGACAAGCGTCCAGGAGGAGCTGAAGCAATGGCTGGTCCGCCGTGTCGAATGTATCCGTGGAAAGTTCTCTTTGGGTAAATCCTTGCTATTCCGTGCCCTGCCCACACAGATCTTATGACTTACATGACATTAGACGTCGAAATCTTCCCTGCGTTCGAGTATGCCACAGAGCCGCATACCACCACGATTCTACAGGAAGAAAACGTGCCCTTTGCTGCCGAGAGCAAGACTGTGACGTTTCACAGCAAGAACGTCAAGCTCCAGCTCGATGTCAGTATTGATAAAGGAGAGGAAGAGTACCATAGCTATCCAACCGTCCGCTTCAGGAAGGTAATGAAGCCCGGCATGCTTGGTGAAGGTGTTGTTGCCAGCATCAACCTGTTGGAAGGCCAAGCTGTCTCATTCATTCTTCGCAACGACATCCCCAATCACGTCACGGAGCAGATCACAAACATGGTTCTGGACACTCAGCAGCACGGTACCCAGACCTACTGGTACAACTGGATCTCAAAGTGCAAGTACAAGGGCCGTTGGCGCGAGGTTGTTCAAAGGAGCTTCATGATTCTGAAGCTCATGACATACGAACCGACCGGAGCCATCATTGCTGCTCCAACATTCTCCATTCCCGAAGATATTGGCGGTGTCCGGTAAGTCAAACCCTTATCATCCCTCTATCCTCGAATATTTATTGCCATTTCCTGCCCGCACGTGAAACACTTGAACGTACCCTTCTTCTGACATCAAGCACCCCATCCACAGCAACTGGGACTACCGGTTCTCATGGGTCCGCGACGCCTCCTTCACCATCTACATCCTCCTCCGGCTCGGCTTCACCGAGGAGGCCGATGCGTACATGAAGTTCATCAGCGACCAGTTCTGTCGTTCGCGCTTCGCCAACGGCGGATTACCCATCATGTTCACGATCCGGGGCGAGACGGACATTCCCGAGCGGGAGCTGACGCATCTGGACGGGTACCGGGGCAGCAAGCCGGTGCGGGTGGGCAACGGGGCGGCCTTCCACCAGCAGTTCGACATCTACGGTGAGCTCATGGATGGCATTTACCTGTACAACAAGTACGGCAAGCCGATCCACTGGGACCTGTGGTGCTCGATCCGCGAGATGCTCGACTACGTGCTCACCATCCTCGACGACCCGGACATGTCCATCTGGGAGGTGCGCAATAACAAACAGCACTTTACTTACTCCAAGATCATGCTGTGGGTCGCCTTTGACCGCGGCTTGCGTCTGGCTGAGAAAAGGAATTTCCCGTGCCCCAACCGGGCCAAGTGGCTCGTGGCTAGGGATTCATTGTACGAGGAGATCATGGAGAAGTCGTACAACAAGGAGATGAAGTGCTTCGTGCAAAGCTACGAGAATCAGACGATCCTGGACTCATCCATCCTCATCGCGCCACTCGTGTTCTTTATCGCGCCCAACGACCCGCGATTCTTGAACACCATGGACCGTATTATGCTGCCCCCCGAAAAGGGTGGGTTGACCAGCACCGGCCTGGTATACCGTTATGACACCGAGCAATCAGAAGATGGTAAGTCATCATCAACCTCGGCCACTCGAAAAGATTCCTTTTCCCTTTTGCCTTCCACCCTTCCCTTCCCAAGCCATAATCACAAACCCGAATGTCACACTAAATGATCAATCCTCTCTCCTGATGCCTTCTTCATATAAGCTACAGCTGACACACCACACCAATTCAAACAGGCGTTGGAGGCCGCGAAGGTGCCTTCTCCATGTGCACCTTCTGGCTCGTCGAAGCCCTGACGCGCGCCAGCGTCTACGAGCCCAAGTACATGGTGCGGGCCATCAACCTGTTTGAGAACATGCTCAGCTTCTCGAACCACCTGATGATGTTCTCCGAGGAGATCTCGCGCAGCGGCGAGCAGCTGGGCAACACGCCGCAGGCTTTCAGCCACTTGGCGCTCATCAGCGCCGCTTTTAACCTCGATCGTGTATGCGAATTCAACCATTAAGAGGAGAAAGGGGGGTTTGTCTCTTACGTGATGATGATGATGATGATGATATGGATGGTTTGTCTGTTCTGAAAGGAGCGATAATGTGCTACTAGTGAGCATTGGATTTGACTGATTCAAGGTACTCGCTGACTGTTTTGGGGAAGTGTCGAGATCATCTCGATCTCTACTGGCTGAAAGTGGGGTTTACTGCTCTAGTTCTTATTGTGAGTGAGGATTCGGTGATGTTTGCAAAATAAAGAAATAAAAAAAACGAAATTAAATGCGTGAAACCGTAGAAACAAGCATTGGTGATATACTACAAGGCTGGTAACATTGATATTCGCACATGTTACATCCGACATACATTAGAACCACTTATTGACACTTGTGTTCTCTGATTCGGGGAATACACCAGACGAAAGCCGGGATATCAACATACCGTCTCCAACAATCGCTTCCTAAGCCCAGACATCCATAACGCCCCTATAGTTCTTCTGAATGCACAAGTACCTCAATACGCAATGCTCCTTAATGCCCTGAGGTGAAGCACGAGAAAGTGAACCCGGCCAAGACGATCAGCCAAGCAACTTTAATCCGCCTTTAGTCTTCTGACCAGGCTTGGTCACTCCACTGCCATGCGCAGGTCCAAGATGCGGCTCATACCCGCCGCCCGCACCACCACCACTACCGCCTCCATCATGACCCACACCGGCGCCCATCCCACTGCGACTCTTCTTCTCCTTATTCTGAGTGTTCTTCTTATCCTTCCATTTGCCGCCCTTTCGATCGTCCTTCAGCACCGTCGGCTTGATCTCCGTCTTGGCCTTGTGCACCACCACCGGATGGCTCTGGATATACTTGCCATTCATCTCCTTCGCCGCCTGGAAAAAGTCCTCGGGGTCACTAAAGCTGACAAACCCGAACCCTTTGCTCTTGGTCGTCCGCTTGTCGCGCACCACTTTCGCTTTTTGCACGCTCTTCCAGCGTGAAAAGGCCTTGAGGAGCGACTCATCTGTTGTCTCGCCTGCTAGGTTGCCCACGAAGAGACGCAGGTGCGAGGGGTCCCATTCAAGCAAGGTGTCGTCTGTCCACTTCTTGCCGCCGCCTTCGCGCACTACTGTCTTCTTCTTCTCGCCGTCGGCGCCCGTCGCGCCGCTGCCGTTGTGGGCTGCGTAGGGGTCGGTTGATGTTCCTGCTGCTCCTGCTGCGGCGGCGGCGGCGGCCGCCGCGGGATCCATCGCTGCACCGTAAGCGGCTCCGTATTGAGCGGCACCTGCACCGTAGGCACCGGCTGCAGCGCGCGCACCGGGAACGCTGCCGGCACCGCCAACCTTGTTGACGGCATTGTTGGGGTCGTTGGGGTCTTTGGGCATGTACGCGCTCTGCCACGCCGCTATCTGCGCCGCCTCGACGGGGTCGTAATTGGCGTCATGGTGATGACCATGGTGGCCGGCGGTCGGGGCGGCGTTCGGAACGGGAAAGGGGTTGCGGATTTGGGGCGGGGTGGAATAGCTGCCGGTGCCGGGGGTGCCGTATCCGTATGCGGCTTGTTGTTGATAGCCTGCTGCTTGGGGGTAACTGCTGTATGTCATGTTTGCTTGGCCATAGCCGCCACGGCCATCTCCTACGCCGGGAACGGCTGGTTGATGAGCGCCGTATGAGGTGGGCGCGCCATAGCTGGCTGTGCCGGGCGCGGCGGCGCCAAGAGCCGGGCCATAGCCGGGAGCCGCCGTATACGACGAGGTTGCTGCCGCGGTTGTTGGGGTTGCGGGATAGCCTGGAACTGGAGATGGAGATGGGGCGGCGCTGAAGGACCGCGCAGAATGGATCGCGGGTTGGAAGGCAGGCTTGAAGCCGCCGGGCTGCTTTGCTGGTGGCGGTCGGGGAGGCAGCGACGGATGGGTCGTGCTTTTGGAGACACCTGGAGGACCGGGGTACGACATGATGAATTTCTCGCGCCGACAAGAAAGAGAGACACAACTTGGTTCAAGTCTGTTTGTGGTGCTTGTTTCACGTACCTGTGAGCCCAGCCCGGCAGTGTTTTGCGCTTTGTGGTAGGTATCCTCCTGTGATTAGGTACTGTCGGGCTTGTCCGGTCAACAGTTGGCTCACGAGAGTTGCAGGCAAGAGATTGTAGAGATATGGGTTGTGGTTTTGTTAATCGGGATCGCGAGTTGACCTAATCAGGCACGGACGTCGGTGGTTGATGGAGAAGTTGCTTGTCAGTGCAGACTACAGCGAGGCCATGGACGGGACGGCTAAATTCCATTTGTGGAGTCCGGCCGAAACTGACTGAACCAGCTGAAGTCGCGGTGAACTGGAGACCGGTCGCCAATCCGAGGTGAACGGTGAACCTTTGGCTTGGCAACTTCCGCTCCAACTTGAATTTCCAATCCGTCACACCCCGGCCGGACTGTGACCACTGGTCACCTCACTCCATCCCTCACTCCTCACCGGTGCCGCAGTGCAGGGCCTTTCGGACCGATCAGCCACAAGCCAAGATTGGATTCTCCAGTATCGATACGTAATCAATCAATTACATTGTGGCGGTGCTCTCTCTCCAAACTCCTTGCGGATGACGATGAAAGAAAGATGGGTGGCAACGAAAATCACGAAGCAATTCACGAGTTCAGTTGCGAAGAACAAAATCAATCATCGTCCTCGCAACGGTTAGTCACACCCGTTGTGGTGGATACGCATTTTGAGCTGACGGACTACAAGTATGCAGTAGACGGAAAAACATCCACGAGGTTGACCCCCACGCCCCCACCAATTTTCAGGGTTGGGTATAGTTATGACGGGAATTTCATCTGCATGTATCGTACTGCAACGTCTGCTAACTATCGCAGTGTACAATTCCTATTTCGAGGTGCCAGTAAGGCAGTCGAATGACAGGTGACGACCAGCACATTACACCTAATGTATACTTTATTCAGTATCCAAGCGTTTTAATATACCTATGAATCTGATTTCTTGGAAGTTCTTGATTAGAAGGATTCCCGAAGTAACTGTAGCCGATGTATTTTAAAGAGTTATCATCATGGTCAGGTGAAAGTTACCATGTGAAATCAAAGGAGGGGCCCGTGGGGAGCTGCACCTTGTTCTTACCCCTCGTCTGGACTCTTTCTTCTCACTCCTGGCCCCGACTTCCAAGCTTCATGACCTATTTGGGGGCCCGGTACTGGTAATATGAAGAACTAGAGGTACTTGATATCAAGATCTGGATAAGGCGCGAGCAGAAACTTCCCGCGAGGTCTGATATCTCTGCCGCAAGATAGCAAGCTCTATACCGAAGACTGAACTTCTATCTGTGGTTTGTCTGTTAGTGTCCAAATAGCGATGACTCCGCAGCAAAGCGATGATAAAGCTGGGTAAGCCTGCATATGTTTTGGCAGCACGGGAATCAGATGATCGTGTGGGGGATGGGGGTCAGCAGAGCGAAACAATGGAAATGTGGACAATTGATGCAAGGAGGAGTTGGGCTTTTTTATATTGGTTGTTAGGCTATTCCTGAATCCAATGGTCCATATGTCCTTCTTGCTGTCAAATTCTGGCGTATAAATTCCTCGGGTCCCATGAACAAGCATATTGGAATACCAGGCCAACTCATGATGCTATGACAATAGTGGCTTCCATTCCGTGGCGCTCGGCAGTTGGTGGCTAAAACCATGCCGGCTCATCCGGAGTTGCTTACTATCGATGCTTATGACCAGATATTAATGGGTGAGCATCGGGACACTGGTAGAATGAGGAGCCAAGCGGAATGGACGAAAAGTTCCCAGAGGCTGCGGAAAGCAACACAAGCTACTGTACATAATCGCAAATCTTCATAGTGAAGCTTACCGAATATGCAAGGTGACCAGTAAGCATCTGGGTCATCCGAGACAGTTTGCCATAAAGGGGCATTTGTCTTGACAGCCACAAAGCAATGCTTCACGATCATCGTAATTGGTGTTGGGACGGCTGGGAGCTTGAATGGCACGCAAAGACCAAACTAGGGGTCGCGGGCGATGAACCTAACCGTTTCCGTTTGGTCCGTCATAGGTTTGGAGAGCATGAAGGAAGGACGGGATTGCGAAACCGCAACAGACTAAAAACACGCTTTGGCAGGGGTGGCCGGGGGTGAACAAACTTACAAATATAAAAACAAAGCTGTCATCCTTGTGCTACTTCAGTCAACTTTGTGAGTGCTCGACGGATATGCCTACCGGCCTTGCTGTACATAGTAACAAGAGTCCAATGACCTCTATGAGCATCCCCGATAACCAGCTTGCTTGACATTCTTGACCGTTATTCTGGGTAGAGATGTATGGTGCTGAGATGATATACCTTGCCGGGTTTGCCTCTCGTGCCGGCTCGGTGCACATTGGCATCAAAAGCCAAGCTCTCTAGGTTGGAATGGTTGACCTCAACGAAGTGGTGAGTGAGTGGATCGTTTCGTACCATGGTTGATCCAGACCAACAAATGGGACATGGAGCCTTCCGATCCCGCCGCGGGGGTTTTCTGAGGCAGGACGGCGGAATAATTTCTTCCAGGTCCACGGAAGAAAATGCCGGGCTATCCATTCTGCAGCTATCATCGCACCGTACGGAGATCCAGTTTGGAAGGATGAATACCCCATTCCATGTCCTCGGGATCACAGATGGTAGAGGGCGAACACTTGTCCACTCGACTTTCCATAACATCGATTGAATGATGCAGCGAGGCAACGGCGATCGCGACTGGCTGTTGTCCTTCTGTGGGTGCAAATGTCAAAAAGTGAGATGTCCGGAGCGGACGACAAGAGTGGAACTTGTGTGCTATCGCCGGTCTGCAACTAGGGATATTCTACCGAAAGGTACAGGCCAAGATGATGCAGGGCCTGTTCGGATTTTGGAAGTGTTTCCACTTGTTACATTTTGGCTTGCCCACTGCCACGCTGATTGACTGCCCATTGACCCCTCCGAAGTCGAAGGCTCCAGGATCCCTCTCCAAAGTTTCGTCATTACCTCAGCTCGCAGGTACATTCTTTATTTGACCCCCTCCCTTCCCCCCCCCTCCAATTGGAAATCCCTCTTCGTTGAGTAATCTCATCTTTTCCAACTTATTTATCTTGCCTTTTGCTTCTTGTTCTTCCAAACAACCAAACGCTTGAGAAATCGTAAACCAAGATACCCTACAAAAGCCTACAAGATGTCTGGACCTGTGTAAGTCCTTTTCACTACCCCGCCTCCCCCGCTCTACCCGCCTGTGAACGTTCTCTGTTGGAAGCTCTCGATCTTGCCACGGCGCGCATTCTGCTGGCGGTCAGGATGTGACTGTGTGTCGACGAGGGACCTCTTTCAAAGAAGCGATAGTCCTCTCGCCGTGATGTGTGACGGAAAGAGCTTGCTTGCCCTGTTTGCCCTGCATACCAACTGAGTGCCTCCAGCGCTCGCCTAGCGAACATCATTGTTGGCGGAGCTGTGAAGCCGGGCTCCCAGTCCCAATCTCAAAGTCAGACAAGTGCTAACGATGCCCCAAGCGCTGATATCGGCCTCATCGGCCTGGCCGTCATGTAAGTTAATGCTCTTCGAGCATCCCCCTCAACCGTGCCGCACGGGGCCTCGCTAACGTGGTGTGTAATAGGGGTCAGAACTTGATCCTCAACATGGCCGACCATGGCTTCACCGTCTGCGCCTTCAACCGTACCGTTTCCAAGGTCGACCACTTCCTTGCCAACGAGGCCAAGGGCAAGTCGATCGTTGGTGCCAAGTCCACCGAGGAGTTTGTCTCCAAGCTCAAGTCCCCCCGCCGCATCATGCTCCTCGTCCAGGCCGGCAAGCCCGTCGATGACTGGATCGAGACTCTCCTCCCCCTCCTCGAGAAGGGCGACATCATCATTGATGGCGGTAACTCTCACTTCCCCGACAGCAACCGCAGGACAAAGTACCTTGCCTCCAAGGGCCTCCACTTCGTTGGTTCCGGTGTCTCTGGTGGTGAGGAGGGTGCCCGCTACGGCCCTTCGCTGATGCCCGGTGGTGACGAGGCTGCCTGGCCTCACATCAAGGACATCTTCCAGTCCATTGCTGCCAAGAGCGATGGCGAGGCCTGCTGCGAGTGGGTCGGTGACGAGGGTGCTGGCCACTACGTCAAGATGGTCCACAACGGCATTGAGTACGGTGACATGCAGCTCATCTGCGAGGTCAGTAGCCCCAATGCACTCTGCCATACGTGGTTTTGAGGCGAATGAGGACACCGATGTAACTGATGACTTGGTACAGGCCTACGACATCATGAAGCGCGGTCTCGGCCTCTCCCACAAGGAGATGGGCGATGTGTTTGCCAAGTGGAACAAGGGCGTTCTCGACTCGTTCCTGATTGAGATCACCAGGGATATCATGTACTTCAACGACGATGATGGCACTCCTCTCGTCGAGAAGATTCTCGACAAGGCTGGCCAGAAGGGTACCGGCAAGTGGACTGCTGTCAACGCCCTTGACCTGGGCATGCCTGTCACCCTCATCGCCGAGGCTGTCCTTGCTCGCTGCCTGTCTGGCATCAAGGAGGAGCGTGTCAAGGCCTCCACCAAGCTCGAGTTCGTTGGCCGTGCCAACAAGTTCGAGGGTGATAAGGAGCAGTTTTTGGAGGACCTCGAGCAGGCTCTCTATGCTTCCAAGATCATCTCTTATGCCCAGGGCTTCATGCTCATGCAGGAGGTATGTGGATGCGCAGAACAGACCATCCCCGAGGTGCGATTGCTAACGCTATTTTGATCACAGGCTGCTAAGGAGTACGGCTGGAAGCTCAACAAGCCTTCCATTGCCCTCATGTGGCGCGGCGGTTGCATTATCCGCTCCGTCTTCCTGAAGGACATCACCGCTGCTTACCGCAAGAACCCCGACCTCGAGAACCTTTTGTTCGACGACTTCTTCAACAAGGCCATCCACAAGGCCCAGCCCGGCTGGCGTGATGTCGTTGCCAAGGCTGCTCTCCTTGGTCTTCCCACTCCCGCTTTCTCCACTGCCCTGTCGTGGTTCGATGGCTACCGCACCAAGGACCTCCCCGCGAACCTGCTCCAGGCTCAGCGCGACTACTTCGGCGCCCACACCTTCCTGGTCAAGCCCGAGTACGCCAGCGAGAAGTACCCCGAGGGCAAGTACATCCACGTCAACTGGACTGGCCGCGGCGGCAACGTCTCCGCTTCCACCTACCAGGCGTAAAGAGAGTACGGTATGGAATGAACACGATATGTTGGTGAGGAGACGGTCTAGACATTGGGAACGGTTGCTTCAATGTTTTGGCAACTAACGAAAGGGTAAACACGCAAGATGCATCAGCCAAGATGCCGATTTATGGTATGAACTGGAATTAAAAAGTGGTACTTTAGCATGAACTGGAATTCGAATTTTTTCTCCCACTCGCAGTGAACAAGAACTATGATGCTGTACCGCATTGAAACCAGTGAAGAATACCTGCGATCCATGCCCGTCCGATCGTGCAGGGACGGAAGACTGGCTACTGCCGGCGGCTCAGGAACAGTGAAGAACGAGATCGATGAGACGGACACTGAGCATTGGAATACAGTGGCAAACCGTTGGTTCAGACTATGGATGGTGGTTCTTCGCTATCTATGAGATGTCCTCTCCGTACCTTTCCACGCTCCATCCTGTCGAATGATATTGTATGCAGCGATTCTGTAACCAGGCTGAAACAGTGCCACTGAGAGGCTCGAGTCGGCATGAGGCCAGCAGCGGTTGTTTCAATCATGGCAAAAATTATTAAAATGGTTTTGTCAAGATGCAGGTCACCCGTGAGTATTTGAATGGAGTTGGCTAGGTTCGTTGAGCCAGGAGGTAGTCACGTGTAACTGTACTGTTGTGGGGCTGCCGCCGCCAAGCGGCTCTATTGCCTGCCGCCGTCACTGGCTGGAACTTACCCGCCTACGCAGCTTGGTTCCTGAACGGAAAGTTCCCTTGTCAATCCACGAAGCGCGCAACGCCCCGGAAATCCACCTCAAACGCGACGGGACAAGGCACCTCGTTTTCCAATCACCATCCACTAGTACATCCGCCATTGACAACGCCAGAAGATAATATTAGCTTTACTGCTAGCCCTCCGGATTGACATGTTCACACAGGAATAATCCTCACTTCACAATATCTCCTCTTTCCAACAAACCTCACATTTCAACCTCGACCAAAGCACAATGGCTGGCGATCCGAGCCAAAACGTGCACCAGGACTTGGTATGATGTTCCTTACCAGCATAGCTCTGCATTATCCATTGTTTTGTCGATTGTTATGTTATGCCTTTACAGACGACTAACCCAAACTTTCCCGATAGCTTCCTCATGTTCACCTCCTTTCCACCTTCCGCTATGCGTTTCAGCCTAGGGTCGAACTACCAGAGGTCACAAAGTGGTTGACAGCCGCACCCAAAATCGCCCGTGACACGGCTCCATTCTTCTGGACATACCTCGACTGCCCCAACGATGGGTCCATATATCTGACATGGCAACCTTCCGCCCGTAGAGGCGTTGAGTTCTCCAGCGATGGATATATATGGTCGGGTCCCGAGATCTATTACCATCAGCCTGCCGGTAACGGTTTGGTATGACACTCTTTCTGAGCTTGCGGCGTTCCTGGGCGTGAGAATTAACTTTGGCGAATAGGTGCTCGAGGCTTACATCCAACGATCGGGATTCAGACCAGGGGAGCAACACACGATACACTCTCGAAAACGGTTTCGCCTTGTTCCCGGCCCAGCGCCAGTGCCGAATGCACCACAGGTGGACCCTAATCTCTGGATTGTGCATTATGGACCTGCCGACAAACAGGATAGGATCCATGTACAAATGGTTTCCGTCAGCCCCCAGATGCAACAGATCATCAACTATCGCCAGCAACTTTTCCAAATGGGCCAGATCGTCAAGAAGGAGTTTATGCTATCGGATCGTGTGAACTGGCCACAACTTCCCCTTCCAGGACGGGGTCAGTCGATGTACGCCCCGCCCATGCCGCCTCGCCACATTCCTCCGACAATGGCTTACCCTCCGCATCCGGGTGCAGTGGCCGGCTCATCCAAGCGTAGGGGTGGGCATGGACAGCCACCAGGAGCACATCCGAACCAGATGGCAGGAGGCCAGCTGCAAAGCTTGGAAGGTGCTTTTGATGACGAGGAGGATGTGTCCCGTGGTGACCTTTTCGACCACCTCACGCCACGCGAAGTGAGCATCGCTCGGTATCAACAAAATCACGAATGGATGGAGGAAATCTTGTCTTCCCCCTATCAAATTGGCCAGATAGAAGTTTCCGACCTGGGACTGGGACGCAAAGGCGCGCTTGCCTCGCTTACAGAGGGTATTTTTGAGGCACAGAGTACCGAGGCGGTAGATCATGGGCCTAAAAAGCCTTATACGGGACACTTGGCCCCAGGGGTGGCAGACGAATTTCGCAAGCGTGTATTGGAGAAAAACAAGGCCGACATGGAAGAGATTGCGCGGATGAAGGCCGACCACGAAAAGGCTCTAGCGAGCCTGAGAAAGCATTCGGCTATCATGCAAGCAGAACAAGATTTGCGTTTCGCGGTTCAAGAAACTGGTTCAGAAGCCTGGCGCCTTGAGGGACGTCTCGAAGATGACGAGGATGGCAGTAGCCGGCAGGGTCAAAGGAACGCCAAAGCATTGGAAGAGATTCTTGCCAGCGTTGAAAAGATTGTGGGAAAGCCTGCCACGGTTGTCCATGATGTTCACCGAGTTGAGGATGGTGGCTACCAAGAGTCAGCTCCTGAGCCAGAACCCAGCCTTCCACCGGTAGGACAGGCCCCACCCATGTCTCGCCAGCCATCGCAAGCCGGCTCTCAAGCTAGCGGTGCGATCATTGGTGATTCCGACATCGATATGGGAGGTACTGCGGCCGGCCTGCTTGACCAGATGAATACCGCCGGCGGTTTCTCGACAGCATCAACCCCTCAAGCTCTGAATCTTTCGGCGAACCCTTCGAGTGCTGCCACTCCTTCAGCCCCCAACGTGGCCTCACCTCTACCACCTGCAACTAACCAGGGTGGGGATGACATTAGTATGGAGGACGCTGACGCAGAAGCCTCAGCGAAGGTTGCAACATCTGCGCCCGATCAAGTACCCGCTGCTTCTAACCCTTCGGGTGCCACAACTGCCTCTATCCCCCAACCGCCAACGACGGCTGGCCACAGTGATGCTGTTGGCGTTCCTGCTCAGCAGGTTACCCAACCTTCGAGTAAACCCGCATCAGTGGCGCCCACCCCATCAGGCGAAGGTATTGACTTCAGCTCACTAGGCGATCTGGATACCGCCGGCGAGGCCCTCGCTGGCTACGACCCGCCTAGCGTTGGGCCAGGTGGCGATGATTTGGGAGATCTGAACATGGATATGGAGGACTCTGCGTTTGGGGATGCCTTCCACGGCATCAGCCATAGTGCCGGTGTTGACCAGTCCTCTCCCGGAGCTGGACTTGGTAGCGCCGGGAACACTCCACCTGTCTAGGCGGATACTGGTACCAACGCTTCCTTGCAATCAGCGCAGCAGACACAGCAAGACCTGGAGGGACGAAATCAAAGCCTGGCAGACAAGCGTGGAGATCCATGAACTCATGGAACCGAGGAGGACGACAAAGCCCTCATTAAAGCCCACTCCGAGGACGCGGCTATGCAGAGATACGAATAGAATTTGTTTCCCTCCAGAACCTATAGATCGGTACGAGCACGAATGCACTTTTATCACACGCTTGTGGACTAGCTGGCAAGACACGATTCTGCTTACCGCTCAGTCTGAAGGGCGTAGCTTCAAGAATATCCAAAGTTCCCTTTTACCCTACAAAACCGTTGACGAGTTGATGGAACGTCTAAGTAAACTCTGTGGCCCAGCCCATCCTGAAAGAGTTCGTCACTGGACTTCTGCTAAGGACAATTTGTTGCTCACCGCGGGAAGTTAAGGGTAGAGCTAGTCAAACCGTCCAGCGCTCATTATTTGCCCACAGGGCTCTTGAAGCATTGAGAAGCCGTCACCGTAAACTCAGCCCCAAGGAGACCCATAAGAGCGGAATGCCTTGCTGCTATCCTTCCATATAGCGCACGGGACGGCCTAGTTTGGCCCGAAGATTCAAATGGTGGTACAAGCGACCAGGTGGTGGGCTTGAGTATGAGTTGTTTTCTGGTGACTTGTTGAGTAATGGTCATTCAGGGTGAGGATAACTGATCATATCGGCGTGCGTTTGTGCCCGCTCATGTTGATGGGGCGCTAGGAGGATTGAGGCGTACGGAATCGGTAACAGGTAGAGAGCATCCCATACTCCTATGCAACGAAAAGGAGAAAAGAACAAACTAATGTAGTTTGGTATACACTGATCGAACCGCTTGCAATTATCGCGGTTCCAGTTTTTTGTCTAGATGGTTTTATTATAATGTTTTGGTCCCCTAAACCACTCCCTTTCCTTACTGTATTCGTAGATTCAGTATAATATATATATAAGATGTGTACATTTCGATCAAGGTGCATTCCACTTTTTGACGGTGTGAAAACTTCATGGAAACATGGCATGGCAGTGCTACTATAGATCAAACATCAAGTTTACTCTTGCTTCGTGTCATAAGGCTTCCGGAATTATTTTTTTAAATTTTTTTTTTTAATTTTTTTCTTTTTCTTTTTTTCCCTGTTGCGTGTGTAGTGTACCCGTGAGTATAAAGGCTTGTGCCACACAGCCTGGAATACAAACCTGGAGACTTTCTCTGGAAGAGAGTACTTACTTAAGTGCATCTAGTTATAGACAAATTAGGCCTGCCAAACTGTCCTCGACTGAGGCCATGGGTTCGTTTGTAATTGGATTCCCGTTTCCCTTTCTCTACTAATGAATTGGAAGAACACCTTGTCGGAGATCGAGAAGTTTGATGTTGAGCAGGGGAGTGGCGAGTGGCCGTAAAATTAAGAGTAACTGCCATCGCAATTTGGACTGGAAGGGGACTTCCAGATACCCTTCTGAAACTTTATATTACAGATGCACGAGTATTGTAGGTACCACATTGGCTCATCCTGTTTCTATTCAACCAAATGACTATAAGGGAGTAACGCGTATGCCTTTTTGTGCCGGCCGCTCAATGTCGTCCATCGATCCCCATCTCGGGCTTCGCAGTGGATGTCGTGACATGTCGTGTTGTGTCGTGGCGTTATCGTAGTTGGAGCAGTCTTGACGCGAACATCGTGATTGTCCATATATCGTTATCTGATCCATAAGGCATTTGGGTTCTTTTGATATCAGAACTCTTCATCAGTAACCAGCAACTCGTGACAAGTACAACGTATGGGCTCATGAAGTGTTGCCAAAACCACCGAAACAAGGTATCATATCCATTTTGTTTTGACTCTTCGTCAAAGTTCATTCGGCGGATTTCATTCAGTCGGCACTGCCTCTATGACACATTTTTACTTGTGTACTGTTTCGTGCAGTTTTCCCCTGCCGGACCGGCCCATTGTAACTGATTTAACAAGCCCTCAAAGCAAGAACCGCGCCAGAAATGCTCAATTCCGAAAAGCCCCCACCCTTCAGCACTCTCATAGACTGCATTTAGAACTTGGCGAACTTCTTGACGGACTTGCCGGTGCGGGGAAGGACGCGGAGAACGTTGAAGCGGACCTGGAAGCATATGGTGTCAGCCTCGCCATTAAAAAAAGAGAGAGAGAACCGGTTGATCGCTCGAAATAGCCTGACGCGTTTGGTGCTTCGCGCCATATTTCAGGAGTCGTCCTCGGCCTCTCGGGAGGGTTAATATCGGGATATGGACGTACAGTCTTGGAAAGGGGACGGCACTGGCCAACGGTAACCTTGTCACCCTCCTCAACACGGAAAGCGGGGGAGACGTGGGCGGCGAGGTTCTTGTGGCGCTTCTCGTAACGGTTGTACTTGGGGATGAAGTGAAGGTACTCGCGACGGATGATGATGGTGCGGTGCATCTTGGTGGAAACGACGGTACCGGACAAGATACGGCCGCGGATGGAGACCTGGCCGGTGAAGGGGCACTTCTTGTCTGTAGTAATAGGCAATTCATATCAGCCATTTGCTCCTCCTTCTCGTCTCATTGCGTCTCTCGTCAAATCGCCCCCTTCCTTGCCGTCACCGCTCGCTTGCTCGTGATATTGCTCTTCTTGTGTCGTGTTGCTGTTGTTCGCCTTCAAAGCTTCGTGCTGTCGCATGTTCTGTGCTCGTCGGTTCGCATTTCGCAACAAAGTCGGCGGGACGGTCGAGGAAGAGTCGGGCTGATCTGATAGACGTTCGTTTCACGGGTGTTCATGAAAACGTACCGATGTACTGGCCCTCAATGGCGGCAGCGGGGGTACGGAAACCCAGGCCGACGTCCTTGTACCATCTCCGGCCACCCTTACCCGGACGGGCAGACTTGACCTTGGTCTTGCTGTTGAGGAAGACTTTGAAAATCGAAGCTTGTCAGCGCGCCCAATTTCCCCATTGTCATCTTTTCCCTTGCATTTCCTCCCAGGTGCAAAAACTCACTGTGAGGCTGCTTCTGGAAAGCGCGCTCGCTCTGCACGGTCAGTTCGGTAGCCATCTTGCCGGTCGGGTGATGCCCAAGATGGTGCTATGGTACGTGAGAGGTGAGATTGGCAGGAAGGTCAAAAATCCACGGGGCTCACAATTTTGCCAGTTGGGGATATTTTTTGGGGCTTGAAATCCGAAAAAGTGTGGAAGCGGCGGTGCAAAGCCACACTTGAGCCGCCTTGACCACCAGGCACCGCAACCAGCACCGCAAAACTCTGCCCACTGAGGGGTGTCTTGGCGCTCGAACCGGGCCAGCAATTGCACCACACCAGCCACAAGTGTGCCTTAGCCACACATGCCTCGCGCACTATCCACTTGCGACTGGCTGATAGCGGGACATGTCCAGAACCGCGCACCACAGTCCCCCCCCCCTCCGCACTCAGTAGGTACCTACGAGTTGCCGGGGCAGTTTGGGTCGTGAAACAGCGCCCTGAGATTTGTGTTTACGGCGCCCTTCACCCCCCTACCATTCGCGTGTTCACTGTTGCAAAAGTAAACAAGTCTGCCCCGCCGACGGGACCCTTGCGGCTGGAGGACCTGCCCGACCTAGCCTGAATCCAAAGATTGTGGAATGTCATGCGGATGCGCGCCGCCAAGCAGGGGCAAGTCGCGTCGACTACCAAACCTAGGAAAAGAACGTGTAACTATACAATCATTTGCCCACACTTCGTCGATGCTGGTGCGCCACTTCATCTGTCGCCCATGAACAACGGACACCACATACGAGACTCCAATTGAGAATTGGGAGAGGAAGAGCCAAACCCGTCAACGGCAGAAAGTCGACATGACGTCGCAACAAGATGTTACGCTTCCCCCGACGCGGATCCCGCGCAAATCATTAAGCGGCGGCTCACCGACGAAGAAAAGGGCAGAGAAGGACAATGCAACTGTTGATATCGGCGCTATGGGCGCTGGTCGCAAGAAGATGCGCAGTAAGAGCATGGGACCAGGTAGTCTTGACATATTCAAGTCAGGCAATGGTAATCGCAGAGCCGTACGTTCATCAGCACCCCTGAACCCTTCCTGGTTAGGTAGTTAGACATGACACTTAATAGCTATCTCACTGTAGTCTCTGGCCGTACCATCACGTCCACCCCCAAGGTCCATTCTCAAGCCGACCTCGCTCCCAGAAATCCCTACATTTAAATCGCGACAAGCCGGAAGCCAGGTCAGCGGCACCGATCAATCGACGAGCTCATTTGACAGCGGCGAGGGCGGGACCAGGGTGGCCGTACGCACTGAGGAGGAGCAGCAAGCAGCTGCCCGAGAGCGCGAGGAAAAGGAGCGGGCACAGGTTGAGAAGGACAACAACGAGCGAAGGGAAGCGCGCAGAAAGTCACTTGCCAACAGGAGAGTGTCCTTTGCCGCCGAAGCCACCCTGCACACCTTTCATGAGATCGAACTTCCCCAAGATTCGACAACGTCTACAGATACAACACGCCGCGCATCATCTTCGACCACCGCTCCATCCCCTGCCCCTTCAACCTTGGAGGCTTCTAAACCACTGCCTGCTCCCGATAACGCCGAAGATGACACCATTGCGTACGATTCCGACCTTGAGCATGCCGATAGTGTCGCTGAGATTCAAGCGGAGGAGATGACCGGGTCAAGCGATGACTCGGATGTCGAAGACGGCACTATGATGACGGTAGAAGCAGAAGAGTTGACCTCGGCCTCTATAGCAACACCACGCTCGCATTTCAGCGCAGACTCGAGTGGGGACTTGGATGAAAACCTCCGACTTGCGGCCCGAAGAGCTGTAACCCAACGACTGGATGAAGACGAAGAGGTTATTGCTGGGTTCGCAGGATGGGGAAAGAAAAACATTGCGCAGGGAAGCTCAAGCCAAGGCAGTGGTCAGCACACCCGTTCCAACCTCACACAGGTTGATCAGGTACCGGACACGGATATGGATGCGGATATGGATATGACCACCGCCGTGGGTGGAATCATCCGACGGATGAGTCCATCACCTGAGGGAGACGATGGCGATGACATGGACATGTCGATGGACGTTACCAAGGCAATAGGAGGAATAATTGCACAACCAATACCATCAACCATTCAAGAGCAATCCGCCAGACCGGGTGCCAGGTCGCTTGAAGTTTCAACAACGTCGCGTGGTGATAGAACCATGGAGCTCCCAACAGCAGTAGGAGGAACCCAACACAGCAGGGTTTCGGATGTGAGCCAGTTCGACACGGATGCTAATGAGGACATGTCGATGGAGATAACCACGGCAATTGGTGCGGTGTTGGGCGGGACCTCGTTCGGCAACGCTCCTCAGGAATCCCGGTCGACGACGAACAATGGGACGAACGATGAAGAAGACGAGGCTTCCATGATGGATATGACTGTCAGTGTTGGCCAAATTCTACGGGACAGGTCCGAAAACGAGGCAAACGACACCCAAGCGATGGACATTACAGCGGTAGTGGGTGGTATCATCAAACCAGCCCCAACTCCTCAGCAGGGCTCGACAAGCCAAGCAATCACGGGGCCTACAGCTAAAGAGAATGTCCGTCCTCTCACATCTACGGCTGTGATTCGAACTTCTCCTAAGCGGCGGAGATCGGCGGTTGTAGATGAGAATGGAAGCCCTGGCCTTGCTGCCTTCCAGAACAATGGTCTCCGTCAAAGTTTGCCGCCTGCGAGCTCAGTGGCAGCGGGGGGGCTGTCTAATGACGCACCAAGCTCGCCATTACAGAGCTCGCCGTTGAGGAGCTCGCCCACCAGGATTCTGCCGACTCGAAGCTCTCCGGACAGGCGCCCTCTTGCAAGACAGCCTTCGCCAGGAAATGCTCCGGAGACACAGCTGGGCACTCCGGTATCAAAACCTGCACCTAGAATGATTGGGAGCCGATCAAGTTCACCTATACGCGCGGCTTCGCCCATGGCGAAAACCACACCACTCAGCCTGAAATCGAAGCTCTTCCGTCAGGATCCCTCTACTGGGCTTAACACTCCACGCATTGTGTTGACACCACAGAACCGCCGTCTTTCTGGAGTTGGCGCTGACCGACCGGGATTGGGCTCGCCTAAAGTTGCAGAAATTATCGATCGCCGAGATTCCATTGGAGAGACAGCTCCCGACTTTGTTCCCAGTCAACCCGATGGCCAGCGCCGAGCTGTGGCCTTTGCGGATCCTCGAGTAATGGAAGCTGAGCTTGACAAAGAGAGGCGAGAGGAAGAAGAAAGAGAGAACAGTCGCCGGATCTTGGAGCGAGAAACGGATGGAGAGCGAGATGCCACTGTCAATTTGATGGAGATGATTCAGGGGCTCACACCCAAGAAAAAGCCTTTACGTGGCCGAAAGAGCTTGGCCGTAGGAAGTGCAAGAGGCCTTTTGGGGAAGCGGCCCGTGGAGTTGGACCAGGATATTGATGAAGATACTCCAGAAAAGGATGGAGTAAAACGGTTGAAGGGACATCAAGGCAGTCCAGTCAAGAACATCAGGCTGCAGGCGCCTCCGTCCAAGGCCGAGACCACAACAGGCAGAGAGACCGTCTCTGAGGCTGTCGACCAAACAAGCAACAACACTGCCACACCAACTATACCCTCTTCTCCCACAAAGACAATGACGCCTAGAAATCAGGGTCGTTTCAAGGATGTCGCGAATGACCAGCCTACAATTACAATGGATTTTGACCACACCGGCCACATTGATGAGAATGCGGAGCAACGAAATGACGACGGAGAGCGCATTCATCTGCAAGACTTCCTCAACATGACGAGTATTCGGTTTATGGAGCTCACTACGACTAAACGAAGACACACTATTGCCCCAGGGGCTTCTCGAGACAGCACATCTGCGGAGGATAAGGATGTTACCTTTGAGAGTTGCGTGGTGGCTGGTGCCTGTACGGTGCCTATGCTAGAATTGTACCAGCATGTAGGTCAACCTTGCAAAACACAATTTCATGTCCCTTGCTAACCATCAAACAGTCCTGTCGTGAACTGAAGAAGTACATCTCAGAGGGACGCCGCATTGTGCGCGATATCGAGACCGAGACCTTTGTGGAAAACCCGCCGTTGTTCAAGGAGTACATCTCGGCCACTCCGGAGCTTAAGCTCCTCATGGATAACCAGTTCAAGAACGTCAAGAGCCACGCGCGGCTACTGAGCAAGGCGATGTGGTACGAATGGCGCATGAAGCTACAAGAAGGACTCAAAGAGGGGCTCTTCAAGATCTCGGAAGGAATGGACAAGGACGACGAGCTTCTAAGGAAGCAGCAGGAGCTCTTGTCATCAGTCCTTCCTAGTCTGACCAAGCGGTTCGGAGCTCTTGAGCGCGAGTTGGAAAATCTTGAGGCTGTCGAAAAGGAGCTTGAGGACTGCGACCCAGAGGACCTTGAGGCTGCTCGCGCGGAGCTTACCGAGCTTGACAAGACCATTGCCGAGAAGAGCAAGAAGATTGAGGAGCTTCGCCAACAGGTCGAGGAACATCAGACGGACGTTCAATCCCTGGCTGATCAGAAGCAGCAGTACTTGGATGATATCACGGCGGCCGACAAGATTCGGGAGGAGTGCAGGGGGTGGAGCTTGACGGAGATCAGCTCACTCAAAGGTACGTGTTTACATTATGGTGTTGCTCAGGTTCAGTTCTAGCAGATACTTACATGTCAGCAGCTCGTGTCGACAAACTGGAGGAGAAATCCGGCTGGGCCATCAACAAGATCGAAGCTTCGGTGATGTTCATGACCTACAAGCGAGAGATCGAGCTCGCCTTCGACTTGGCCTCCTTCAAGCAACAACACAAACAAGGATCCACTATCGACATCCGATACATCGCACACAAGCGCGAAGGCAACGTCATTCCCTTGACACCAGAGAGAATTTTTTTCATCGAATGCATCAGCAGCCACCTGCAAGCTCTTTCAAAATCTTCTCTATCCGTTAACCGCTTACTCACCATTGTCAGCGACGCGTGGGACAAAGCCGACGCAGCAGCCGAGCAGATTCGGCTTCTCAACCTGAGCTTTCCCACCAAAGTAACTCGGACATCCGACACAACCCTCGAAGTCCGCTCCTCGCTGCTTTTGGCACCTCTACAAACTCGCGTCGAAGTTTGTCTAGCCCTGGAGAAAATCTTCAGCAACAAGAATAACGACTCTCTCGACGTAAGAGTCACATCAGACGCCAAGGTCCTTTACGGCGAGCAGTTCACCAAGTCCAAGTTGAATGACTTTCTCAAGAATAAGCTCGGGAAGCAAGTGCTTGGGAAAAAGGAACAGCAGCAAGCTCGCGGCAACAAAAAGAAACAGCAGCAACATGGATGGAGTGAGGTCGTGTTAGAGTTGTACAAGCGGCTGATGGCCAAGGGTGCTAAGGTGGGGCATTCTGGGCAGACACAGTTGGCGAATGGGAGTGCGAATGCGCAGCACCTGCAGGGCCTACAAGACCAGGGGGTGGCGCTGAAGTAAACAAACGTCTTGGGTGTTTGGGAATTCGGGTGGCTCAGGTGGATGGTGGATGGAGCAGGGGTTCGACAGCGGCTGAATGACTGCACGCTTATAGGATGACCCGTTATGTACTCGACACAATGTTCACTACGACAGCGCCGTGTTGTCTCAGTTAAATGCCGGAAATCGGATGGATGGGGAATTGTACGGATGAAGGATGTTCAAGTATGGCTTTTAAGTATCGAGTATTGGTATGATGATAGATACCCTTGGCTAGATTATATGGTTTACTGGCTACTGATCGTCCCGGTTTGATTGACCATGTCTTTAATGTCTGTCTCTGGGAATATGCTATGGTGATGAGGGGTTCGCTTTGTGAATGTCAAATGCCACGCTTTTGATGGACAATGAATGGATTCTTTGAGGTATGCTTGGGTCAACTCGGCGGTCTTCAGTCTGTCTACTTTGCTTGTGGACTTCTTGATATACATATATTCCTTGGTGTGCCCTCGAGCTGAATTTCCTTTATTGGCTGGCTGCTGGCTTTTGTCCTATAACCTACTCCCACGAGCCTTGACCAAGGAGAGGAAAAAAGAAAAGAAAACTTCTCTCGTCTCAATTCCAGGGGACGCTTTCTATCACATGGTTGTTCCAACTCTCGCGTTCAGCAATGCAGAAGCAATCGGGGCTGAGACGTCAAGACGACCGCGACGCATAAAATTGGAGGATATAGATGACTACCCTACCCTGTTGTTCAATTTCAAGATATTCATCCGCCCACGTTTTGTTGCGCATATACCAAGATTCCAACGATTACGGATTTCCCTTTCTTACAATTGACCTTCACGAACTATCCACCAGGCATGCAGGTAGGCATACAATGTTTTTGTGACCGAACAGATTCCAGGCTTCAATGTAGACTGAAGAGTAAAAGCTGTAAAAGAACCATAAATATTAAACCAAGATCAAACTGAACGGTGTAGCAACGGCGCTTCAAAGTGTTAGCATCGTTGAAAGACAGACATGGAGTTGAAGGTTTACTGCATCTTTGAGGACCTGACATGACGTATGCAGCAGGCAGACAAAATTTCAGAGTAAATGGACCACATCATTTAAATTATCGCATCGGTGTGATAGATGATATTTGCGGCGATGACCAGACCCTTCAGTTGACTAACTACCATGTTCCGACTCGTCCGGTTGGTTTACCAGGCATGATGGTGTATACACACGGTACCTCCAATCTTGATCTTGATAATGGACCATAGTCCAAAAAAAAGGATCTTTGGATCTTAGTAGCAGAATGCACGACATGGAACAATGATCGCGAACTAAACGTTTGCAGATGTTCATTGCGGTTATGGTTCGGTGCACACTACGGCTTCGACTCAGCTTTCTACCTATCTATCTCAATTCGTCCAGGCATGCGCACACTGCAATGAACCGCCTCTTAAATTACCCACTTACGGCCTCTAATGTCTGGGTAGATCGGATCGTGCAGGTCTCGTACAAATTGCACGATGTAGTTTGCGATACGGCATACTCCATTCTAGGTTCTCTATGTCTAAAACACCCCTTACCGAATCGCCCATTATAACCACATGAAGCCAAGAAAACTGCCTGAGGATATACTTGATGTTTGACGAAAGCGTATTGGAGGCAGTCAGTTGGTTTGGGGTATTTGGAGGCAAGTTCAAAATGGTGGGGAACGGAAAGTGGGTGTTGGAAAAAAACAAAAAAAAACAAAATCAACCTAGGATGCCGGTGCATGGTAGGTAGCTAGCAGATGCCAGACCATTAAATGAATCCCCATCAGCATCAAGTTCAACGACCAAGCAAAAGCTCAAAGTTTTTGCAAGAAACCTCTTCATTATCAATTTGACTCCTTGCCTTTGATCTATTTTTGCATTTACTTGCTTGATTTGGGGCCTTTGAATTTGAGTGTCATGATAGTAGCGAGAACACCAAGATAGAACCCCATCTCCACCACGTCATCGCACAAAACGCCCAACAAAGACGACGTAAAGGGAGGACTATGCATGAAGTGAATGGCCATGAGAGTAAAATCTTGATTTCCTGTGGACTGTAGTGTTTTGTTTCAAGCAAACACGAAAAGCCAAACGGTGGAGTGCGAGTGTCAAGGGAGTGTCAAAAAAGGACTCCAAGTGTAGCAAATTCACGCTATCATCACCATTCGACGCAGATACCACTCTAACGCATCGTACTGCCAAAATAATTCTCTCAATTATTACTGCATGCGATGGGTGTAATCGACAATTTTTCCTGTCAACATCACAAATCCCAGGGTGATGACGTGAGAGTGTCCGCGCAGTGGCAGGCAGCAAAAGTCAACGGATTCTTGATTGTGATGATGTATCATCAAAAATACATAATGACCATTCCTTGTTTGCACGATGAATCATGGTTATACGAGGGGGAAAAACCCCTTTGGTCAAGGGTGACACGCCAGGCTGTCACGACCAAAGGCATTCTGGTGTACCTCTGATTGCTTGGAGCAATACTGTTTGCGCGCGTAGCAACATATAATGCCGCCGATACAATTGACTTGAAGATCCGTATAGCATCCTATTTGAGCTCCTCATCTAGCCTGCGTGCTTCCTTTGCGCTGTGATCCATAAAGCTAATCTGGTTCCCAATGCTTTGCTCTGACACACCCTTTCAACCCCGTATAAAGACCAGAGAGTATGCTTCACGGGCTGGGCTTTTTGCGTTCAGCGACGAGATCTCCCACCATTTTGGCACTCAGCTCCAAAACAGCCACCTACACTAGATATATTGACTCACATTCATTCATTTGTGCATAAAAATATCCTCACTCGCCCGCTGTCTTTCTGGACACGAAGTTCTCAAGGTAGAGGTACCCTCTACCAGTCTCGACATTCCCCATCACCCAACTTCGAAGGTCTGAGCTCGACCTCACCCAAATCTCACTTTGCAATTCGTAATCTTCACCCTTGGTAGCAGGAAATGCAAGATCGCATGACCCATCGATGGGGTATCCAAAGTACCGCATCTGCAGATGACTACAAACAGCGACCCGAGGAGTCAAAAGTAAGGCGGAGCGACCATCAAGGTCCTCTCCGAACTGATACGTCTTGATAGGAGGATGAGTGTCCACAATCTGCCATCAAAAAGATACGCACTGGCCGGAGCCTCGAGGTGAAGACGACCCCGCGATAACCTGAATTGTTGAAAGATTCAATACACCCCGGTTACCTCAAACAGATAGGTATTACGCAGGAGGGGCTGCCTCGTGTTGGCGGGGTCTTGACGACAACACGGCTATCTTGAAGCATACTCAGAGGTACCTTCCTTTGTAGAGATCAAGAACACTGTCCAGGGAATGGGAGCAAACCCGTGGGATCAGGACCAACATACGGAAGCACAGATTAGAGCATAAGTGAAGCAAAAGTGGCTGTCAGAATTCTGCAACATGCCTAGTAAGTAGATGGCTAACCTGAACCTGAACCTCTGGTATTCCTCTTCACTGAATAGACTCGCTGCCACTGAACAGTCCACCTGATCAAGCGGAAGTGAAGGTGAGATCAAGGTGAAGGTTCTGCCAACCTGGATCCTTACCCCGCGGTCGAAAAGTGCCAGCCCAAAAGTGAGGCGGACCTGAAAGTTCGGACGACGGGTCCAGGTGACGATTTTGAAGGTTTCAATACCTGCCAAGTACGTACCAGGAGCCATTCACTCGACCGGTCTGCCGTTATTTTCAAGGTCGCCGGTCACTTGCCATAGTAACCACGGAGCAACCATACCGGTTGACCAACCAGACGACGCCCTGGGAGCGATTTCATCCCAAGTCGGCCTCCCTCAAGCATATCGACCAGGTTGGCGCACCTTCCAACTACGATTTGAGTGAATGCTGCGGCCGCAGAGTATTGTGGACGGTACTTTAAAAACCCCTCCATCTCTCTCCCTCTTCCTCCTCTTCCTCTTTTCTTCTCTCATGCACCATCCGTTTTTTTAACGTCGATACAGCATTCGCGATCGTTCAAGCAAGCCTTTGTCACAGCAGCACCAGCAGCAACAACAACCGCAACAGCAACAACAATCGCACCCTCGCTTTGAGTGTGCCAGCAAGATGGAAGACCACCTGAGCTGGTTCCTCACCATCGTGTGGTTGGGGGGTTGCGCCCTCACCACCGTTGTCACTTATCCTTTCGGCCTATGTGCCTTTTTTCTCTGCAGTAAGTCGATATTTTCTAGTCTAGAACGGACAGGCAATCAGTGATACTAATGCTCCCTCAAATAGCCATGGCAATCGCCCACCCCGTCGTGGCGTGGGAGAAAGCCGAGGTGATTTCTTGGAAGCTCGTCGAGAGGCTCCTTGAATATGTTGATCTCGTCTACCTCTTTCGGCTGTTTCTCTCGGTTTCGACTGGCCTTGTTCTTGCGGTTCTTGTCACCAAGTTGGTTCGTATCGGCTTGAAGCATCCCAGGTATCGCAAGGTCTGTCGAAGAATCAGTCGCTGCGCCGAAACTGTCTGGTTTGTCGCCTCCAAGGGAGTCTCTGCTTGGAAGGTGTTTTCGCAATGGGTTCTCCGGTTCTCCCAAGCCGTTCGTCTCCGCCAACAACGCACCGGAAAGGTATACCTATCCTTGGACAAGTGGTACCTTCTTGTTATCATTCCTCGATATGTTCCTCCGCCCACCCCAACACCTTCCATTGCCCCCGACAACCAGACTGTTGATCAGTCCGAGATGACCGTGGAACATCAGGCTGTCCCTCAGTACCTTCTTTGCCAGCGCGAGGGCTGGCAGGGTTCTGAGAATCTTGATGATGGTCATCTCGTGAACCGCAGCACCAGAGAAGACGTAGCCCGCCCAATTGCCAGCCCTGTTATTCCGGAACAGGCTGAGCACATCCAAGTCGCCAAGTCGACCACGGCCGTCTCTGCTTTCGATGTCGTCCACGCCGGTCCTGCCCCTCCTCGTCCGTCCATTCCAGAACGGGTCAAGGGTCTGGAACTGCTAATGGAGAAGACCGCGCGCGAAATGGGCATCTCAGTCGAGCAATTCAAGGCCCACTGTGAGGCAACGAAATCCCCGAGAATCGTTGAAGAGGCCGCGCCAGGTTCGACAGCGCCTAACCAGCCACAACTGCCCGAGGCCGACACGCAGCATGCTCCTCAGCCGATGCCCGTACGGAGCACCCGCTACGAGCGTGTGCTGAAGAAGCTGTCCAAGTCTCGCCGCCACGTCCCGGCACCCCGTTATGATTTATTCCAATCGGACTCTGTCTATGAGGAGATGGTTCCTGAATCTCTCATGGCAGTGGCAGTGTCGAGGCCGGCAGCTGTGGCTGAAGCACCCATTTCTGAACCGGTTGTCATCAC